AGGCAGTTTCCTGTGACTACCTCCCCATAAATGCCCTACATCGTGAATTAATACCTTTATCTAAGTTAAGACCTTTAGCAATGAAAACAGAAAACTGTAAAAACAAGAAAAGAATTGCAGAAAAACTTAGACCTACCGTGTTTCCCTGAAAATAAGACGGGGTCTTATATTTATTTTTCCTCAAGAAGACACCCTGGGGCTTATTTTCAGGGGGCGTGTTATTTTTTTTAAGTACGGTACAACCATCTACATTGATTCAAATATAGTTAAGTGGTCTTCTTCTGGAACATCATCATAACTCTCCAAACCCCGAATTCCATCCTGAATTTCTTGCAACTCTATTTCCTTTAGAACCATTGGCCCCGATCTCTCATGTGGAGCACTAGAGCTCTCAAGGGGCAGATGAGAAGGGCTAAATGCGACTAAATGCACAAGTTGTGCAGACGCGCTGCGAAGCCACACCCATCACTAGGTCTTATTTTCAGGGTAGGGCTTCTATTGTGCAAATGCTTAGAAATCCTGCTAGGGCTTATTTTATGGGTAGATCTTATTTTGGGGGAAACTCGGTACCTATAACCTATTCCTGTCAAGTTGTAACTTTGTAAATATATATGGTAACTTCCTACCAAGTTGTAACTTTGTAGATGTATATGATAATTTCTGCCAAGTTGCAACTTTGTAGATGGATATGGTGATTCCTACCAAGTTCTAACTTTGTAGATGGATATGGTGATTCCTACCAAGTTGTAACTTTGTAGATGATATGGTGATTCCTACCAAGTTGTAACTTTGTAGATGTATATGGTGATTCCTGCCAAGTTCTAACTTTGTAGATGTATATGGTGATTCCTGCCAAGTTCTAACTTTGTAGATGGATATGGTGATTCCTACCAAGTTCTAACTTTGTAGATGGATATGGTGATTCCTACCAAGTTGTAACTTTGTAGATGTATATGGTGATTCCTACCAAGTTGTAACTTTGTAGATGTATATGGTGATTCCTACCAAGTTCTAACTTTGTAGATGTATATGGTGATTCCTACCAAGTTCTAACTTTGTAGATGTATATGGTGATTCCTACCAAGTTGTAACTTTGTAGATGTATATGGTGATTCCTACCAAGTTCTAACTTTGTAGATATATATGGTGATTCCTACCAAGTTGTAACTTTGTAGATGTATATATGGTGATTCCTACCAAGTTCTAACTTTGTAGATGTATATATGGTGATTCCTACCAAGTTGTAACTTTGTAGATGTATATATGGTGATTCCTACCAAGTTGTAACTTTGTAGATGTATATGGTGATTCCTACCAAGTTGTAACTTTGTAGATGTATATGGTGATTCCTGCCAAGTTCTAACTTTGTAGATGCTATGGTAACTTCGTTAGGAGCTGGAAGTCAGTGTGTCTGGGGTCTGTGTTATGGTTCAGGGTCAACAACAACAGAACCCTGGAGAGACACAGAGTCCGTAGGTCCTTTCAGTTGTACCTAAGTTTTGAACGGATGGCTCTGGGGAGCCTGCCAAGTTTTCACCACGTCCTCTGAGTTCTAGAGAGACAATACTAGGGGCTGCTTTGGTCACTTAGATGCTGCTAGAAAGTATGAGAGACCAGAAGCGCCGACTGGACAGAGGACGTCACCGAGAGCTGCTGCCCGCTCCGCAGACCTGGTAGCTGAGGGAGAAGCCCAGCCAGGATTTGCAGCAGCTGTTCACACGTGGCCTCCCAGCCAGGAGCTCGCAAAGACGCCAAGCTCAGGGCCAGCTGACACAGTATCACCCTGTGATGGATTAAGGCACAATATCAGGATAGAGTGTATGCATCATTGATTTTTTCAAAATACCCCTTATCTGGAGGGAAAATAAGATGTTTCCTCAAGGACATCTGGTGGGTCCCAAGGCTTTGTAACTCTGGGTGTGGTTTCAACCCAACTACGGAGACTTTCGTTTTAATCTCTTCCATCACACCCTAACATAGAACGTTGCCTAGGAAAACAAAGTTACGTTAAACAAGGAAGCCAACTAAATCAATCTGTACACTGCCGTGGAGCCTGAGTCAACCTGAGATGGACTTCCGCAGGTGCGCAGGTCTGGATCGAATTCCCTATACTTCCCTACAGAAGGAATTCTAGCGAGCTAAGACTTTCATGCTCTTGTCTGTATCTTACTCAGAGTTGTAATCTGAGGAGCTCCAAAATTAAAGAGAATTACTTTGCATTTTATAGGACTGAACCGAAAATGTAAGATAACTTTGATGAAAACATTCACAATCCGTTTTTGGTAGACTTTGAGGCCGATAACGTATTTGTTTCTCTACATCAGGTTCCATCGTGCCGGGTGCAGCGCCAAGTGTGGACGGCAGCCCCTCTGCCCGCTGGTGCTGCCACGTCGGGCAGGTGAAGTCAGGTGGTCGCAGCACTGGCCTCCCAGGGGGAGGGACCAATGAGTCAAATCACATCAAGAGCCGGGTGACCGGCGCAGAGAGAGACATCGCGGAAGGGCAGGGGCGAGTGATTGTGACTTGCACCCGGTGGGCAGCAGCAGAGATGGGAGACGTGGGCAGACCCGGGAGACTCACGGGGCTCGGGACGGAACCGGATGTGCATCGCGGAGAGAAGGGATTTCTGTACAACCCCGAGGTCAGGGCTCACAGGACCTGCAGAGAGACGGGACGGTTGGTGGAGACGGTGCCCTGGACGAGAATCACAGTGAGAGAGTAAGATCCTGACGTCAGTTTAGACGTGTTGAGTTTGGGGTGTTTTTGAAACAGCCAGTTGGTGGTTTCCTTCGAGGACCCGCGTGGTGAAGCCACCGGACCCGGCCGCAGGAACGTGGGAGGAGAGGCAGTTCCAGAGGAGGACCCGGTGAACGGGGAAGTAGTTCCAGGTGAAAACGGACCTAGGCCTGAGACCGAGGCTTCCTGGTGCCACGACCACTGCAATGCACTAATTCGCACTCGAGTACAAACTAGCCCATCCACCCCAGACCTGTCTGGGTCGACCCTTAAAAATCCACGTCCACAGGACGCGAGGATTGGGAACTACATCTGAAGCCCACAGAAGCACAGGGCACGTGTTCAAACCAGTGCACATCAGTTTGCATAATCTTAGTTATTTATTTCAGATGCAAGTATGCTCTGAAAATTTGATAGCTGGGCAAAAGTAAAATGTTGTGTAACTAACTTTCCAGCTGTAAGGACAATACAGATGGAACAGGGTAAGGTCAGAGGGCCTGGTGAAGCCATTCACTTGTATTCGTATGGAAATAATACATCATGACGCAGTAATTTCATTATTTACCCGCACGCCTCTGCCCCAGCAGCAAAAGAAAGGCAAGACCTGCTGTCAGGACCTTCTGTTTATTGGCTTCATAGGTCTTTTATTTTCAACTGCCTTTTAAGTATATTTCCACAGATCTGTATTTTTTGTTTGTTTGTTTTTTTGAGACAGAGTCTCGCTTTGTTGTCCAGGCTAGAGTGAGTGCCGTGGCGTCAGCCTAGCTCACAGCAACCTCAAACTCCTGGGCTCAAGCGATCCTCCTGCCTCAGCCTCCCGAGTAACTGGGACTACAGGCATGCGCCACCATGCCCGACTAATTTTTTCTATATATGTATATATTAGTTGGCCAATTAATTTCTTTCTATTTATAGTAAGAGACGGGGGTCTTGCTCTTGCTCAGGCTGGTTTCGAACTCCTGACCTTGAGCAATCTGCCCCCCTCGGCCTCCCAGAGTGCTGGGATTATAGGCGTGAGCCACCGTCCCCGGCCCAAAGCGTATTTTAAAGTTAGAATTGACGTTTATTGTATTGATTTTTTTTTCTCTTTTTGCTTAAAATGTTGGGTGAGAGGGAAGTGGCAGTGAGACGTGCTCGGGGCCCAATAATCCCTTCAGAGTCACGCCACGTGGTCCTGCCGCGGGGAGGCGTGGCCGGAACACGGCGCAGGGTCAGCTGCCCTGGGGCTCAGCACCCCCCGGCGGGGGAAAGTCAGGCAGTTTGAAAGTTGGGTAGGAAAAATGTAGACGTCTACAGAAAGCTTGCAGATGGATAACACTCTTCCACTGTGTATCAGAGCTAACTTCTCCATCCCTTGTTTCCTAAGCTGACGGCAGTTTCTAAACTTTATAACAATAGCATAAAAGACGGGAAGCTAAATATTCACTGGAAACCAATTGCCACTCGCTGAAGCATAAACAGCTTCAATTTATTCACTGAACACCTTGTTCTTGGATGAGTTAATACCGCATGTCTGTTCTTGTAAAATAGAAGACATTACTGCAATTCAAATTATAAATCTTTAGGAGGCAATCATGTTTTTTTCCGTTTGTTCTGCCTCCCAAGCCAGATTCAACAAGTGACATCAAAGGGTTTCCGAAAAGCAAGTCTTATTCCCACTGTCACTAAATAAAAGTTACCAAATGTTTTGATAACTGTATTCGGTAAAAGTTAATTTCAATGTCACACCTGGGTTACAGTTCTTTAAAATCTAAATAAAGATGTGATTGTTTGTTTCTAAAAGGTAACTTTTAACCTTCTAAAGAATAAAATCAGCCATTTGATACTTGTAGTGCTTTTTCTATGTTGCAGAACTGAATTTGATATTTGAAGCTTCCCGCCAAAAATACAGCAGTGATAGAAACCAAATAAAAGAGACCGTGATATTTTAAAACATTAAACAGAATTTGACTCTGATACTGTGATGTATTAAAGTTACTTCTAGGCAGCAAAAGTCGAGCTAATGCAGAATGGGACATTGGGGGGCTTTGTAAATACAATTGCTGTTGCCTCTCATCCACTTCCTTGACTTTGTCTTGCCCAGTTATGTTGAGTCAGGATCTCTTTAACAAACTAGAGTGATTTTCAAAATCGATTTTTAAAAAATAATTTAATAAAATCAAGTGAGAACAGTTATTTTCTGTGTATAGTCAGAGAGAAAAGATGAGATGTTAGAACCTTAGCGAACAAAAAGACAACCGCTCTATTGCTGGAGAGGTTGAAAATAATTTACAGACTTAATTTAATGAAGCAGAACAGTAACTAACAAATATTCACAAAACAACAATGGAGCTGTCTGTACTTTCATTAAACAACACATTTAAGGCAAATGCTGTATTAATATAAAAATAATATGCAGTAAACTGATATCTGACATGAGATACAATAAAAGTGAATGTTCACGGCAAAGACCTAAAGTCAGGACATCTCTGTGTGCTCCAAATACCTCCCCTCACTTCTCCGTGGTGCCGGGCACCTCCCCCTCCCCGTGGCCTGAGCACATGGCCATCGGGACATCCGGAATCTTCTCAACACAGAGCATTCCACGCGCCCTGCCAAACCAGGCAAAATAATAATTTAACATATTTATCTTAGCAGAAGGCCCACGGTAACTCCAAACTACAGTTTGTTTTTTAATGTCTAGTACTAACTCTGGTTTTTAACGATAACTATCATCATTGTTATTCTAATTCTCATGCTGTTCCTGGAAAAAAAAAATGTTCATCCTGAAGGTTTTTCTTACTAAGTCACCCCTAAAATCGACTTTATGTGGAAAAGTTTCATCATTAAAAAAAAGTCTACTACTTATATACTCCAAGACTGATTCCACTACGTTCTGTAGAGCAAGCACAGACTTCGCTATCAGACAAACTGGTTTCAACGTCTAACTTTGCACTGTGGCCCTGGGAAAGTCAAGATAACTTCTTTTAGCCCCAGTTCCAGAACTATAAACCAAGGACATTGTGACAGTCTCAAAGGGTGGCTTGGAGGGTACAGAGAGCTAGTGCACATGCCTAGCACAGGGCTAGGGGAGAGTACAGACCACGACAGGTGTTGATGTCTTTTTTCTCCTCTCTGCCTCATTCCTGACACCTTTTGATAAGCGGAGATTCGTGAAAAAACACGGAAGAAGTCACCGGAATAGCTCAGCTTCACGGAAAGGCTCATGGACATTGCAGGCAGCGGGCAGTCACACATTTCCTAAGTAACATTCAGTAAGATCCACACACCCACCGGTTTTAAAAATGTATTTACATGTCACAATTCATGTGCAAGAAAAGATTTTTTTTTTTCAGAGCAACCATGAGAGAAGAAACAAATAAGCTAACATCCGTCTGTATAGGGTTCCTTTTGTGAAAAATGAAGACTAGACCCAATTGTGTTAAATGTGGAATGTTCATGGACAGGTAACAGAATCTGCGTCTACACCCCAAAATACCAGCAAAATAGTCTCTTTAAAGGAAAGAACCCTTCTTTGTGGGACTGACAATAAGTCAAGGTCCCCATCGCTTGCCCAGGAAACCTAGGGAAGGTGCTGTCTCCAACAGGGGTCCGGTAGGACTTGGCACATGGTTTCAACTCTCCGACCACTCACTGTTCTTCATCCCTTGTGGCCCCTAACTCAGACAATCTCCCACATACACACATTGACATGAAAGTACACGAGGCTTGAAAGCAGGAAATCCGTTCAGGACTTAACATTCTCTACAACAAAACCAGGCCACCACATTTATATCCACTGTCCCACTCACGGAACGGGTTCTCCTCTCCGGGCTGTCAATCAACACACACGGCCACGCCCCACATCCCAGCAGGCTTCCCCAGGAGGCTCTGCTGGGTCCCGTGAAGAATTCTAAGGCATCGTAAGTGGTTGCTCCGCGATGACATCCTCTCGATACGTCAACAAGCCTCTGGTCCTCGGACGCCACCAGCCGGGCACGGGAGACATTCATCGTCCACAAGTGGTCGGCTCGAAGGTCAAAAACTTGTTTTTTCTTTAAAAAAAATGTGTATGGAATAGCACCGTAGCAAGTCTTTCAGAGACAAATCTTTTTTTTTTTTTTCCAACTTTGCATTTTTTTTTTAACTGAATGCCCGGGGTGGGGGAGGAGGGGAGGAGAAAAAAATAAGAGAGAGATCCTTCAATTTTCAAACAAGACCTACCCCCGCTTCATTTCATTTTTTAAAAATACATTAGCTGAGACAACATCAAGGACGACGACAGATCAACAACGAGAGGAAAACACAAGGATCATAGCAGCAGCAGTCACGAGCGTGTGACCCGCCGGGCGGCTGTCCGGAGGAACGCCCACGCCTCCCGGGAGTGTCCTCGCGGGTTTCGTGAGACGGCACGGGCTTCCTGGAGGCGGCGTGAGAAGACGGCACTCCCACGGAAAGAACTGAGCCTAGCGATGACACGGGCGTTTCCCAGCACTTAAATAAACGGCGTCTAGGGCTTAAACTGCGAAAACAGACACGCCCGACACTTCAACTCCCCACAAAGCAAGCACAGAGCGGCGCTGTCAAGACCGCCCGTGTTCCCGAGAGGGCAAGCAGCCTGCACGGAAACAACGAAGCTGAACTGTCCCAGCAGCGTCCAGACACCAGGAACACGCGCACACGTCCAGAGTACGGACCCTCCCCTCAGGTCTCCCGCGTCAGCCCCTCTCTGGGTCCGGTCTCCCTGCGCCCAGGACACACGGTCAGAGCAGTTACCCAGGCCGCGAGCAGAGGGCTGTCCAGTTTACGGCCTGCAGCTTCCTCTCCTGCCCCCAAATCTTGACACGTTGTCAGAACGATCGCCGGGCAGGATCACTGCTCCCGCACGGCGCTGTCTGAATCTCCAGGCGTCCGTGGGTCTCAGGCCGAGGACCAAAGCTCCTCGTTGTCCAGTCTTCCGGAAGCGTCTGACCCCCTCTCACCGCTGCAGACGCCAGCCCGCAGGGCGCTCACTCGAACGTCCCTGCAACGCTGACGGGAGCTGGCTGGAAACTCCGCTTTCGGTCGACAGAGAGCTCTGCCCTCACAGCCGTCCTGTGCTCACACCCATCGTACAGACCTTCGTGCCGACACCTCCGGTTTAAAAACAGATATGTCTTTCTCTGCCTTGCGCACATTGCTTCCTGTCCCGACAGGGGTCCGGGTGTTACTTTTTGGTGTGCGTGGTATCTGGATATCGTATGCTTTTGTATCTTATATGAAATCCCTTCTTGTTAATTGTGTCGTCAGTGTGAAAATGGATTAAAACCGCATCCCCGACGGAATAGATCTCTTCTGGTGGCTGAAGGGGGGGAAAAAAAAAGAAAGAAAGAAAGTAAATAAACATCAGAAGGAATCACTTTTTCATCAGTGCAGTGCATGTTTGGGAAATTTTTTTCTCTGGAATGTAACTTGGTCCCCCTGACAACCATGAACGGTAGATGTAACCGAGTTCTTCGCTGTACAGGTGAGGAAGCCAGACTCAGAGAAGAAAGTGATGCCGGAGGTCGCACGCCCGGTCCGTGCCGTCGAACACACACCAGTCTGTGTCCAAGTGCTGGCGTTTTCCTCGCTGAGAACCTCGTGTTTCCCCCCAACCCTGAAGCCAAGTTCTCTAGACTCGCAAATAAGTAGAGCGAGGTTCAAAGAGGGCAAAAAGACAGCAAGTTTGTTTCAGAAGCGTCTCTGAGCCAGAGACTCTTCCGGAATCCAAACTTCCGTCATTCCTTGTTTTAATAATCTCAGCACCAAAGACAGGTGCGGTGGTTCACGTCTGTAATCCTAGCACTCTGGGAGGCCGAGGCGGGAGGATCGCTCGAGGTCAGGAGTTCAAAATCAGCCTGAGCAAGAGGGAGACCCCGTCTCTATTAAAAAAATAGAAAGAGATTAATTGGCCAACTAAAAATATACAGAAAACGTTAGCCAGGCATGGTGGCGCATGCCTGTAGTCCCAGCTACTCGGGAGGCTGAGGCAGGAGGATTGCTTGAGCCCAGGAGTTTGAGGTTGCTGTGAGCTAGGCTGATGCCACGGCACTCTAGTCCGGGCGACAGAGCGAAACTCTGACTCAAATAATAAATAATAATAATAATAATAACAACACTCTCAGCACCAAGAAGCTTTTCTGTTTGACCTCAACTGCTATTTTGGCAGGAGTCCAGGGATATTATTTAGGCAACAGATCCCAGTGGACATCTGGAAAATTGAGAACGATGTCTCCAGAATAAATTATGTGTTCAGAAGACTGTTCAACATTAACGCAATGAGTCCCGGGAAAAAGCATTGAGTAATAAGCCTTACGTTCTGCGTCTCTGATTTCTCACGGTGACCTCTGGCTGGTACCTGGCATCCTGCACCCGCCCAGTGACACTCTGCAATGGGGAGATATTCCTGCAACTCAGGCCCAGCCCGCGCACCCATGGGGGACCGGGCCACTCCCACCAAATGCGCGTGCTGAGACGGGAACGCGGACTGGAATGCTGTGCGTATTATTTTCTCTTTACACTCTCATTTAGGAAGGTGGCAAAATTCTCAAGAGTATGCATTTAAATATGCTGATTTTAGACTAATAAGTATGCAAATACTCATTGCACAACCAAACGTTAGAATGTGGGAACGGACTATAACTACTGAATTCATCTGGTTTTATTTTGTCTTTTTTTTTTTTTTTTTTTGAGACAGAGTCTTCCTCTGTTGCCTAGGCTAGAATGCCATGGCGTCAGCCTAGCTCGCAGCAACCTCAAACTCCAGGGCTCAAGCGATCCTCCTGCCTCAGCCTCCCGAGTAGCTGGGACTACAGGCATGCACCACTGTGCCCGGCTAACTTTTTCTATATATTTTTAGTGGCCAATTAAATTCTTTCTATTTTTAGTAGAGACGGGGTCTGGCTCTTGCTCAGGCTGGTCTCCAACTCCCGACCTTGAGTGATCCTCCTGCCTCGGCCTCCCAGAGTGCTAGGACGACAGGCGTGAGCCACCGTGCCCGGCCCCCCAAAAAAATTTTTTTTTTGAGACAGAGGTTCCTCTGTTGCCTAGGCTAGAATGCCATGGCGTCAGCCTAGCTCGCAGCAACCTCAAACTCCAGGGCTCAAGCGATCCTCCTGCCTCAGCCTCCCGAGTAGCTGGGACTACAGGCATGCACCACTGTGCCCGGCTAACTTTTTCTATATATTTTTAGTTGCCCAATTAAATTCTTTCTATTTTTAGTAGAGACGGGGTCTGGCTCTTGCTCAGGCTGGTCTCCAACTCCCGACCTTGAGTGATCCTCCTGCCTCGGCCTCCCAGAGTGCTAGGACGACAGGCGTGAGCCACCGTGCCCGGCCTCCCTCTGACGTTACCAGGCAAATTAATTAGGGGTGGAGAAGTGGCAAGGGAAGAGCGAGGTGCTATATTTTGTCAAGCCATCAATAAAACCGTGTAACTTTTTTTGCAAAAGCGCTGCCAGTTTGTCGTCAATGTTGCACCGATCGATCGATCAAGGATCAATAGGCGTTTGGCATCAATCACGCCAGGGTGTCCCGGCGGCAGTGGTGTATTTACCCCGGAGCCACAGAAGCGGCCGAGCCCCACGGCCGCCGCGGAGTCCAGGCCGTCCAAGAGCTCCACGAAGTCGTAGCCGCAGTCCGCCTCCTCCTCCACCTCGAACGTCTGGAAGGACAGCTCCAGGCGGGCGCCCCGCTGGGCCACCAGCAGCCACTCGCAGTCCGCCTGTCCCGGGTAGTTGTTGTCCCCGAACTGGGCGTGGGAGAACAGGTCCCTGGGCGCCGGCTCCGCCCGCAGCCGCCCGCCGCACTCTGCCGGGACAGAGAGACAGAGGAGTGAGCTCGGGGGGCGTCGGCAGGTCCAACCACAGTGTCAGGGCGGCCTCACCGTCCTCACCACCCTCTACCGCCTGTCCCTGCCTCCCGCGCCGGACACTCTTCCCACAGCTAGGAAGCCGGACAGAGACACGGGCCAGGGGCGCGGACGGAGTCTCAGCTCTGGCGCTGACCGGCTCTGGGACTTTGGGTTCCAGAAGCTGCTTGTCTGAGTCACGCCCATCCCAAGGGTGAGATAGAGACGATGACAACAGCACCCATCCTAGTGCCGTTTGCAAATGTGACACACGAAAGTCACTTGGAATCCACCACCTCGTAACTCTTGATAAATGTGCTGTCACACCTAACGCTGTTTCTTTTTTTTATTATTATTAATACTTTCAAGCAGCTCTTTACACAGAGAAAAGGCCAGGGTTTTCTGGCCTTTTAACTCAGGTTTGATGCTAGTAATTTTAAAGAACCCCAAATCCAAAAGAATAAGAACTTAAAAATCAACAAGGATATAAAGCTCGCCGGGTTCAATGGCTCTCGCCTGTAACCCTAGCGCTCTGGGAGGCCGAGGCGGGTGGATCCTTTGAGCTCAGGAGTTCCAGACCAGCCTGAGCAAGAGTGAGACCCTGTCTCTACTAAAAATGGAAAGAAATTAATTGGCCAACTAAAAATATGTAGAAAAAATTAGCCGGGCATGGTGGCACATGCCTGTAGTCCCAGCTACTCGGGAGGCTGAGGCAGCAGGATCGCTTGAGCCCAGGAGTCTGAGGTTGCTGTGAGCTAGGCTGACACCATGGCACTCTAGCCTACAGGCAACAGAGTGAGGCTCTGTCTCAAAAATAAATAAATAAAATAAAACTCTTCTATGTATGTGTGTTACAGTGTAAACTGTCTGTTCTACACAGTGTAAACTAAAAATAAAATCCCAAGTCCCTCCCTGACTGAATGGACCCCCTCTTGGCCAAGGGGACCCCAAGGAAACTTAAAACTGAGTTCCCGGTCATTATGGAGAGGGAGGTCCGACCTGCCTCATTATACCCTCTCCCCTTTGGTGTTTAGACACCACTGAGCAGCATTAATGTTAAAGCAGAGTTCTGAAGACTGATGCAACAGCCTCTCTGTGGCACCAAGACGCTAAATTGCAAAGTGAAGGCCACACAAGGCGAAGGTTAACCGCAGCATCAGTCTGCCTAACAGGTCTCTGCGTGGGTGCTCTGTGGTTGGTCTAGGGTTAGCAGATTCCTTATCTCAGCCCAGGCCTTCCCCACCCCCGACTCCAAACTTCAGACGCAGCATAACTCTCTCAACCAACTGCCAGTGGAAGCGTCTCTGAATCCACCTGTGAGTGACTCAACGCCCCTCTCCTGGATACCTGCCTTCTCTGGCTGAGCCAGGGTCACCTGCCATGCACTGACTTACCATCTCACCTGCAGTCCCTGCAACATCAAGCTGCAACCCCACCGTCTCGATCACTTACACACACAGCCTCCCGGTTCTGTGTCTTCCTGGGCTGCGATCAGTCACGTTAGCTCAGAATAAACCTCTTTACATGATTTTACAGAGTTTGGGATTTTTTCCCCCATTAACAATAGAATATACAGAACAATAGCATTTTACTTAGGTAGAAATATTTACCTAACTTGATCAGGGAAAACAGACACACAGCTTCGATTATAATTATCTTTGTAATTCCAGAACCTACCCACTTGCAGTACGTGTGGTTTGTTACCATTAAAAATTGTAAATGCTCTTCACCCCCTATATTAACAAGCACGCGTCCTACCAGTTATTGCAGGAAAACTTAACTGCTAGCATCATTTAGATGATAAAGGGTTTCCAAAAAACTTCTCAGAAACCCTTTGTGGTCAGAGCCCCCAGATTGCAACTAATTGGAGATTAAAAAGGCAGAGAGAGCCCTCTGTTCTCACGGGAAGAAGTGCCACGCCCACAGGGAGAAGTGCCACGCCCACGGGGAAAGTGCCACGCCCACCGATAGAACTGCCAAGCCTGAGTGCAAGCCCAGCTGCGGCGAGTGAAGACTGGGCCTTGGAGCGTGTCAGGAGAGTCAGTTTCTTTTCCTCCCTGTTTGCCAAGGACCATCGGGGTCCGGGAGGAGGAACCCCAGAGCTGATGGAGACGTCCGGGAAGAGGAACCCAGAGCTGATGGAGACGTCCGGGAAGAGGAACCCAGAGCTGATGGAGACGTCTGGGAAGAGAAACCCCAGAGCTGATGGAGACGTCCGGGAAGAGAAACCCCAGAGCTGATGGAGACGTCCGGGAAGAGAAACCCCAGAGCTGATGGAGACGTCCGGGAGAGGGACCCAGAGCTGATGGAGACGTCCGGGAAGAGGAACCCCGGAGCTGATGGAGACGTCCGGGAAGAGGAACCCCGGAGCTGATGAGCACGTGCGGGAAGGAACCGACGGATGGAGGCGTCCGGAGAGCAACCCGCGGCGCTGAGAGGCGTCCGAAGAGACCGGACGGCCTGAGAGGCGCTGCCTGAGGCGAGAACCCCAGAGTGATGGACCGTCGGAAAGCGGAACCCAGAGCTGATGGAGACGTCCGGGAAGAGGAACCCCGGAGCTGATGGAGACGTCCGGGAAGAGGAACCCCGGAGCTGATGGAGACGTCCGGGAAGAGGAACCCGGAGCTGATGGAGACGTCCGGGAAGAGGAACCCCAGAGCTGATGGAGACGTCCGGGAAGAGGAACTCCGGAGCTGATGGAGACGTCTGGGAAGAGGACGTGCGATTTCTCTCCCAAGTCCCGCCGACTGGAAGCTGAGCACCCTGGTTCCCACCACGGGACTTTTCTCATCCCGTAACCCCGAGGATCACTGCCCTCTCCGTGGGACAGGGCCCAGCTGAGCTGCCCGGCCCGCGCCCGAGCTCCGTTCACCACCAGCGGCAGGACTTAGGCCCACCACTGCGTCTCCGAAATGCGAATCACACTAGTGCTCTCATCACGGGTCTGCTGTGTTTCCCCGAAAATAAGACAGGGCCTTATATTTATTTTTCCTCAAGAAGACACCCTAGGGCTTACTTTCAGGGGATGTGTTATTGTTTTTAAGTCGGTACAACCATCTACATTTATTCAAATAGAGTGAAGTCGTCTTCTTCTGGAATATCATCCTCACTCTCCAAACCCCAAATTCCATCCTGAATTTCTTGCGACTCTATTTCCTTTAGAACCACTGGCCCCGATCTCCCCTGTCGAGCACTAGAGCTCTCACGGGGCAGATGAGAAGGGCTGCTCGTGTTCTTTCCCGCTCCGCGACGACACGCACGGGTTGTGCAGACGCGCTGCGCAGCCACGCCCGTCACTAGGGCTGATTTTCGGGGTGGGGCTTCTATTGTGCACATGCTTAGACATCCTGCTAGGGCTTATTTTATATGTAGGGCTTATTTTCGGGGAAACACATAGATGAAGCGTGTTCAAAACCCCGAAAGGCGCCCGGCACAGCAAAGGCCACCAGAGTTCCAGCTACCGTCACTGCTGCCATCACCGACAGCATCCAAATGCCGCCACCGCACTCTGCGAGACCCTCAGGTCTGAAACGAAAACTCCAGGAAACCCGAACCACAGCTTAAAACCCTGTGAACTTGCGGGCAGCAGGGCAAGCTCTGTTTTCGAAGGCCAGTGAAATATTTTGTGAAAAGTATTTCCGAATTCAACCTATAAATACGGAAACCTGCGCAAATCTCCTTTACAGACTTTAAACAGTTCTGCCCGTTCTCAAGAATCTGAGGTCTGGCTGGTCTGTTTTGTTCGGCTGCCATCCTTGTGCGCCGGATTCACAGGGACAAGGACCGGAAACGGCGGCCTCTGCCAGCCCCCGGAGCAAACACCGGGGGGACTGAAGTCGTTAAAACAGGAAAAGAGACTCAAACAGACGCTTCGGGCATCTGATGGTCACAGAAAGGTGTCATTGTTTGATTTTATTAGAAACTTCTAGAAGTGTGGCCTACACGTAAAAACAAATGCCCTAAACTGCAGGTCAGGATGACAAACCGCTGCACGAAGTTCTGTCTTCGCCGATCGGCTGGGGGGACACCCTGATTCCTACGACCACGGCTCAAACCAGTAAATCTGGACTCTCGCTCCAGCCATGAAAGAAATGCAAGGGAATTCAGTCCACAGGATGAGTTTTCTGAGGATGAACATTTGGATATCTTATGCACAAAAGGTGTGTGATTTTAATGTGCCCCCGGGAAAAATTCCGGGAGTGTAAAATCCCAGGCAGCAGGAGGGCAGCCGTTTCCGGGAGTTTCTAAGAGCCCTGGAGGTGATTCACTGACAGGTCACTTGTGCACGTTATTTTGTGCTTGAGATCTTTTTGTTTGTGAGACCATCCGTGGTGTGGTGCTCAACGGCAGTTTACGTTTTTTTCGCTGCTCTGTGAAAGCAGTGTGGTGTTTCCAATACACGGTACATCCCAATGCATGTTCCTATATCCATATATCACAATTTTTTTAGCCACTCTCTTGCTGGTGGACATTTAAATCGATGCTAATTTGGGGCTACTGTGAATAAAGCTTCCACGAACACCAGCAAAAAAAAAAAAAATTATATGATAAACTGGGGGGAAAAAAGATGACTTTTAAATAAGGACATTTTCAGCGAATATGCCTATCCTGCACGAGGGTCCCGGCGGCTCACGCGGGGCCGGGAACGGAACGGGGAGCTGAGCCGGACCCACGGCCGGAGGGGAGCAGCCTGGGCTGGTCTTCGCTGTGACTCAGAAAGACGCCTGCGTTTGTGTGTTTGCCTCCTAGTGGGGTTTTACATTCCAGGAGAGGCCCCTGCAGCAGTTCGAACTGTAAACGCTTCTGGCAGGGCGTTCAAATGTGATTGATTTGGGTCAAACAATAATTTCCCTTCTGAGAGTTTAGTAATCTACTATCTGATGTTTAAACGCCCCTGACAAATGGAAGGGTGCTCCCCACTCCAGAGCAGCAGCCCCGAGGCTGAGGGACAGCGTCCTGTTTCTGAATTATTTTCTGCCCATGTTTCTCCTCCCTTTCTGTCTGCTGCATGGCCTCATCCTCTGGGAGCAGGCACAGGGTTTTTACTGAAAGATTTGTTGCCTGCGCTTAGTTCATTTAAGGCAGGAGTAGTATTATTTGCTGTCCGATTAAAATACTTTTGGACTTAGAATTTGGACCAACTGTCAGAAGGGAAAAAGGACTCTTTCCAATGAAGTTCATTTTCCCTGGACTTGGATAGAATTGCAAAAAAAAAAAAAAAAAAAGCCATGTTCCTAATTTTCTGGTTTTAAAATTCATAGCATTAGAAATTTTTTCTTGTGCATAAATTTAAAGCTGTACACAGAAAAATAAATTTACTTAAGTAAATTAAAATGTGTGCTTGAGGGCCGGTCAAAGACAGCCACCCACGTCCTAGAAGGCAGTAAGTCACGGATAAACGCTCTCGGTGAGCAGTGAAGGTTGGCAGATGTGGCGACGGCGTTGGCTGTCTCGTCAGCAGGAACTGAAAATCACAAGTTCGACTTGCAGAGTGTAAGCTGCCAACAGGCAGGGCTTCCTTCCATTGTCCCGTAAGTTTCCACAAATTCACGTTGTCTACCCAAAGCAGATGCCAAATCATTATTTGATGAAAGGATGCAGAGCAAATGAACTTGTTAGAGAGAATGCTTCGGAGACAAACAACAAACGGTGCCTAGGAATATTTCAGCAGGCATGGCTGCTACCACAGACAGTTACAGTGGAAAATAAACCTACCCAGAAAAATTCCAAGATAGTTGGTTAAGTGAGAGCAAAAATGTATATTGACACATAACAGAAAAAACAAACAAATCATATAAAAAATAATCACAAGAGGAAAGCCAGACCTCTAATTTTAACTGTCACTAACTTCCTATGCTACTCTAGTTGCCATTTAAGTTTTTAGTTAAACTTCCTCATATCAGGGTGGAATTAAACATTATCCAAAGTGCACCTTGCTTCACAAAATGTGACTGGGGATCTCACGTGGGCTTTTGAGTGGAGTGAACTGAACAGGGAAATAAAATGAGTCTCATCAGCTATATATTTTAAACAGAAGATTTGCTTAAAACTTACACACGGGAGCACTGCATCTCTGCCTAGTCCTCCCAATGGTAATACAGTTTTGTCCTGGTTTTCTTCCCAAAAAGTTTTACACTGAGAAAATATCCTACAGCGGAAAGCACATGAGCTTTGGAGACAGAATTAGGAGAAAATCCAGGCTTTGCCACTATTTTAGAAAACTTCACAAATTGATCAACCATCCAGATTTTCACTTTCTTCGTCTGCAAAATGAAGATGATAATATCTGTCTCATACAGGTCTCCTGAGGATGCAGTGCGTGTAAAGAGTGCATGTGAGTGTTTGTGTGTGTGTGTGTGCACACCTGAAACCCAACTGCTATCTATACCACTGGATCCCAACACAACGTAACCATGACATGATTAGATCCTAGCGACGGAATCTTCATCAAAATATAAACACTGAAAATGGCCAGGCGCGGTGGCGTGTGGCTCACGCCTGTAATCCTAGCACTGTGGGAGGCCGAGGCGGGCGGATTGCTAGAGGTCAGCAGTTCGAAACCAGCCTTAGCAAGAGCAAGACCCCGTCTCTACTATAAATAGAAAGAAATTAATTGGCCAACTAATATATATAGAAAAAATTAGCTGGGCATGGTGGCGCATGCCTGTAGTCCCAGCTACTCGGGAGGCTGAGGCAGGAGGATCGCTTGAGCCCAGGAGTCTGAGGTTGCTGTGAGCGAGGCTGACGCCACGGCACTCACTCTAGCCTGGGCAACAAAGCGAGACTCTGTCTCAAAAAAAGTAAATAAAAAAATGATCTAAAAAAACAGTGAAAATGGGTTAAATGGGGGGCAAGTCAGGCACATTAGGGAACCTCAGGATTTTACAGCTGTGAGTGACCTTGAACTTATTATTTTACAGGTGAGAAAACTAAGATCCAAAGGATGTCATCTCCAGGGTTCCTTGCCAGGTGAAGGCACACTTACTCCTGCCAGGAACCCGGGTGGACTGTCACACGGAACATATTCTCAACCCTCCCACTTACAAAGAGACATTATAAAAGTACGTTTTCATAAAACTAAAAGAGAAAAAAATTAGAACTAGGTAATTTTAGAATACTATATCATCAGCTATTTGAAAAGTTTAGGCAGCATATTTTCACACGGCATTCTTGGAACCCGTCGTAGCCTGGATATTAAACGAATGTGCCATGAATTCTGTGCTATCAGAAAATACTGATGAAGTCATAGGATTTGATTTTTCCACCCCTCCACCAATCTATGAAAAGTTATCGGGAAAACATTTAAACAATAAATGATGAATGTCTCGAAAAATCTCTCCTCTGTATGAAATTTTTAGGGTCCATGCAAGATTTTTCTCAAGCCATAATATTTAGATTCATACTAATGGTGAGAAAGAATTAATCTGTGTTATTCACAGAAGTACAATCATTACTAGTAAAAATCAGACCACTATCCTGACAACGACTATCCACTTTCTCACGGACTCCGACATAAATCTCATGCTCATAATAAAATATACTAGAGTGAAAAATAATATTGGACAAGGGGATAGTTAAAACTCTGAGCTCCATAACAAAGCCAAAGAAAGAAAAAACAATCAGCAGAAAACCACGACAAAAAAACCGCACTGAAGTTATTTCCCGGGTGGATTTGCATGCATCTTTGGAGCTTGGCTTCCATCCAGGCAGATGCCCTCTGTCTAGCTAGCGAGTCCGCCCAAGGCCACCAGGTGTCACCAAAAGCTAAATGACTTGAGCAAACAGCTACAATTAACTGATTTTTTTTTTTTTTTAGCTGAATGCAAAATGGACATTCTCTAAACATATTATGGAATGTATCATTAAACTGGCTCCAAATTGTAAACAATTTTGTATTCGACATTTTTGTCCTAAACTTTTTTTATATTTTTCTAAATTAAATTTTGCTTCTTAAAAATATTCTCAGAACAGGTGAAATCTATGAAAGAAAAATCAGAGATTAGGACGGGGGGGGGGGAGGGGTGGAGAAACCTTACGGCATACCAGATAAAAGAAAGAAGAAAAAAAAATTCGGCTCTCTCAAACAGATAAATCCCAGACTTACTTACAAAAATGCATCACTACAAAAGTTAGCGGACCAGCTAGGTAATTAGATGAAACGCAAAGTTTTTTAGCACCAAGCTAGAGATCTCTGTATGGGACACATAGCGTGTGAGCAAACTGCTAAAGCTAACATGACCTGCATTGCACAAATACGTAGAGATGGTTTTACTTGACTATGCGGCCCTGATCACAAGCCAGACTGAAACCACTGGGTTTTTCCTAAATGCCCGACGACTGCAAAGGTATTGTTAGGCAGGATGTTTGTGGTTCTGCAATTGTCTCACACAGCGCCTCCGTGAGATTTCACCTGCTTGCGTCGGGGATCTATTTATGATCCTGCTATTGAACCAGATACATTCATCAGAAGGGAAACCTGGATTTTAGTCGGAAAAGCAAAGCAGGACCGGCCCTCGTGTGCTGACCTGTAGAATGCGTGGCTTGAAAGCCTTTTCTCTGAACAGAGGCGTCGGAAACAAACCGAATGAACATTTTATTCCCGGTCGCCACCAGCGGGTCCGGGATCTTGTTTCCGCAGAGCCGTCCGAGAATCGGCGACTTTTCCGTCTCTCCGTCGAACACTTCCAGGTGGTCATAAGCACATTCCTGATGCTGCTCGATCTCAAACTCACTAAACGCCTGTTTTTTTTAAAAAAAAAAGAAAGAAAGAAAGAAAGAAGAAGTTAAAATCCACAACTCACTCAAAATGCATCCTTTTCTTTGGGGCAGCAATACACATAAATAAAAAGAGTTCAGGGCATCAAAAGATTTAATCCACACGGTACGGTGCCGAGAGAGGCGTGAAATCAATAGGATGTGTAATCTCCGGAAAACAATGTAGCTTTCCCCCCATTCTATCTCTTCTTCAGGGTAACTTTATTTACTTTCTCCTCCTCCCTAGCTCATATAAATTGCTTCTTTCATTCCTTTCTTTACTCCTCCAAGGCCAGAACGGGGGGAAAGCTCATTTCCCTTAAGTCTCTGTCCACTGCACCTTACAAAGTAGAAATAAGCACGTTGTAGCCAGTGGGTATTAGAGTCAGTATGAAGATCATTACGGGCAAAAAAGGAATGCGCACTTCATTCGACGAAAGCCACTACATAGTGTGAAAAAGATTGAACAAAGCACAAAGAATCTCTCTGGAAACAAACAAACAAAAAAAGACAGTTTAGGGACATGTAGTGGCCAAGGAGATTTCTGCAGAGTTTATTCATCCCGAAGCACAACGGGCGAAGCAGGTGGTCGAGGAAGGAGCCTGTCGCTTGCTAATCTCTGCCATCCAGCGCGGCCGACACATGGCACAGGACGTGGAGGGCTGGATGAATCTGTCCGCTCGTTTATCTAACCGCCTCTCCCCTGTTCACCGCCAGCCGCAAGTACGAACGGCTGCGGACGCGGCCAACCGAGACCTCTCACTCTCACCTCCCACGAGGCGGGACTTCTGCCGCGCCACTCTGCACTCACGTGCGTTCCCAACGTCAGCCGCGACCGGTAAGAAACCGCTGAGAGAAAACTGGTTTCACTGCACACAGAGTTCTTTATTCAATACGAAACCAGGCTTCTGAGTTAGAAGAATAATGTCATTTCAAAAGGAAAAAAAATACCGTTCCGGGAAAATAATATCTGAGAACCACTGCGTGTCGGGCGATTGCCGCTGTTGACTGTGGTGTAGGGTCAACATCTATAAACATAAAGAGCGGGGACACCCACCGTGTGGAAGGGGAAATTGTAATAAAGATGGGGGTGGATAATGATGTCCTAACATATTAGGTCATTAAATGTGAGACGTCCAACTTCGATTCGAAAGTGCAGTTTATTGTATCTCAAACAAGAAGCGGTGCAATGAAGCGAAGTATGCGCCTGAACTACCGACACAGTATTGCTGTCTCAGCGGTAGCTGGTTTAGGCCAGCAAGGAAGAAGCCTGGAGAGCAAGTGGAGATGAAAGCACTAGAGGCGTTTCCCACAGATCGTTGAGAATTGAGTATTTTTCTTTGCAAGAAGTGGTCCAAAGCCTGGAAGACGTGGTGGTCAGTTGGTGCAAGGTCTGGTGAACACAGTGGATGACGGAGAGTTTCCAAGTCCAGCCTCTGTGGTCTGAGCAGCGTTGTTTGTGCGACATGAGGCCGAGTGTTGTCTTGGAAAAAGATTGCCCTGTCTCTAGTGACCGGTCTCAGCCGCCTAACCACAGACATCCGCATCATGTCATCCAACTGACGGCAGTAGATGTTGCTGCAGTGGATCAACCAGGTTCCACGAAGCCACAGTGGATAATACCAGCGCTGGACCGCCAGACACACACCACTAAGCTTTTCTGGATGAATATTCGGTTGTGGACTGTGTTTCCACACTCCATAAAAAAAAGAATCACCACTTACACAGAAGTGAAGATGAGACTCACATCAGACTTATAAGAATCCATCAAAGGCAGAAAAAATAGCAGAGTCAGGTGCTTCGAATGCAGAAAGAGAATTCCCACCCTAGAGTTCTGGGTGCCTGAACACGTCTCTCGGGTGCGCTGCCAGACCTGCTCCCGACACAGTGCGGGAGGGAGCTCTTCGCTGACACCCAGCGAGTCTTGGCCCTGCACAAACACACGTCTTCCTTGACATCTGTTTTCCCGGCTGCCCTGGCCACCTGCACCGCTGATCGCAACAGAACTCGGCCTCCACGCCGAGGCCGCGGGGCTCGGGGCAACACGGACGCTCGCCCAGCCGGGACCCTGGGCCAGCCGCCAAGTCGTCCGGCGCTGTCCCGGCTCGGTGGCGGCTGGCGCGAGCGGCATCGCCGCCTGCAACGCCCCTCACGGGTCTGGCAATCACGAGACGCTCCGTGCCAGGAGCGGAATGGTCGGCGGCCGTCTCCGATCTTATCATAACTCCGTGCGGGGACAAGGCCTGCTTGTTGACCAAGAGGAAAAACTTCGCTGGAGAGGAGGGGCCGCACAGAAAGTGTTGCAGACAGCCTCACGGCTGGACCGGACACAGACTGGCGCTCGGGGCCTGGCCAGCGCGTCCCCCCGCTGCCCGGCACAGCACTCGGCAGGGAAGCGCTGCAATGTCTGCCGCCCCCGTTTGACCCCTTTGGGTCCCGCTCGCCCCGCACTCCGCGGCCGGGACGAGAGCTGGCACTCACGAGTGAGCGGACGGCCGGGCCGGTGGGCGGGACTCGGAGAAGGCGGGCAGGAGGCACACGCCACGCTCACACGAGAGTCGTGCGTGCAGAGTGAAGCACACGTGGGGAGTCTAAGGACACGCCCGTGTCCCTGCACAGAGAGCCACACGTCATGCGGAACATCAACGACATTCTACAGACCGCGGGACAAAACGGGCTTGGCCGTGAGAAGCCGTGCGCTCTGCACCTGAGGCACCAGCCTGCAGCGGCCGGCGGGCGTGCTCAACGCGCCGTCTGCCACACTCGGAACAAAACGTGTTTCTCCTTGGGGCCACCGTGTTTTATTACGGAAACAGAATAAAAACTTCAAAAACAAAATGATCCTTTCTGATTCAATGAAAGATTTGTTATTTTTAATTTTCTTTCTTTTTTTTTTCTTTTGAGACAGAGTCTCACTCTGTTGTCCAGGCTAGAGTGAGTGCCGTGGCGTCAGCCTCGCTCACAGCAACCTCAAACTCCTGGGCTCAAGCGATCCTCCAGCCTCAGCCTCCCGAGTAGCTGGGACCACAGGCATGCGCCACCATGCCCGGCTGATTTTTTCTATAAAATTTTAGCTGTCCAATTAACTTCTTTCTATTTTTGGTAGAGACAGGGTCTCACTATTGCTCAGGCTGGTCTCGAACTCCTGAGCTCAAACCGTCTGCCCACCTCGGCCTCCCAGAGTGCTAGGATTACAGGCGTGAGCCACCGAGCCCGGCCATTTTTTATTGTTTTCTGTGCTGTGAGTTGAAAAATAGTGCTTGCGGCTCCCAAGGTGAAGAAACCTGTGAGTTACATAGGCTTCACGAGGCCCCGGGCTCAGCACTAGCGTGAGTTAAATACAACTCACGTGGCAGTTAATGTGTTAAGTGAATTATTATTTTATTACTCCCTAGCTGAATTTCCGATTTTTCTCTTGCTACTGAGTTTATTTTCCACATTTGGAAACGCCATCACCAGTAACACGTTGGGAGGTGCAGCCTGACATCTGTAGCAACTTTGCAGTGGCTCCTTTTGAAGCACCCAGGATCCGCCTGCCGCGGTGGCTCACGCCGGGAGTCCCAGCACTTTGGGAGGCCGAGGCGGGAGGATCACTGGAGCCCAGGACTTTGAGGCTTCAGTGAGCTGTGATGACACCAAGGGATTCTACCCCAGGGGCCACAGAGCGAGACCCTGTCTCAAAAAAAAAAAAAAAAAAAACCATTCAAATGCAGTGGCTTCAACAAAATTAAAACAAAAAAAATTTAATTAATTAATTAATTAATTAAAAACCCACAAAAAAGCCTCCAGGACGAGACAATCTGGAGGACAGTGCAGAGTCCCCTCGACCCGGGAAATCAGCCGCCTGCCTGGTGTGGGCAGGAAATCACGAGAGGGAACCCTTCCCCCGCTCCTGCGGCTCGACACAGGCACAGGAACACTCCCCGTCCCGTGTTCCCGAGCGCACGGAAGACACGGGCAGCCGGCCCGACGGACGGGGCCGCGCCCTCTCACGTACCAGCCTGACGCGGTGGCCGGGGGTGGCTCTGATTGCCCAGGTGCACTCCTTCCTGCTCGGGTACTTGTCCGGCCAGTTGGGGCTGGTGAGGGGGCCGCTGGGGCTGTGGATCTTCTGCTCACACTCGGCTGCACGGAAGAGGAGGAGGACACGGTCAGTGCAGAACCCGCATTCCTGTGCGCCCACCGCCCGCCCGCCCCGCGGAGAGACCCTCCCGGACCCCGGCGGTCGTCGCCACCCGGTCCCCACCGCCACCACCGTCTCCCGTGCTGGGAAGCAGGCTGCTCATCAGCCCCACGCGAAACACAGTGTTTACCACGAATCAGACAATTGCCTACAAGAACATGAGCCCCTGCTCTGGACCACTGGGTCTGCAGCTCACGCTTCAACAGAGCAACGTACGTGGACAATTAACTACGTCAGTACTGGGTATGCGCAAAACGTCTAATGCAATACCGCAGGCTAAAAAAATCAATGGATCATGCCATTTTCAGTTCTTTTTTTCTTTTAACAGGAACATCACTTACAGCTGATTAACATCATTAAAGAACTTCACGAATCTTGCATTTACATTTGCTCTCTCCCCTAAGCTATGTATACTCTTGAATACCTCAGTCACGATTTGAGCGACTGAGACAAACTAGCCCTCATTTCATCAAAGCAAAAGGAAAAAGCCCTAAAGGAGAAAGAAGTGAACAGCTGCCAGCCATTCGGACCTGACTTCAAAGAGTCATCTCCTTATCAGTTAGCATCACGTTTTTAGTTTTTGTCACAACTAAAATAACCTCACTTTAGACAAGACCTTTCCACACTGTCAATATCAGATTTCAAAAACATTTAATGTCCTCAGGCTGTGTCCATTCTCTGTGACTTAGGAAGCTTTACCCTGTACACCCCTGTGTAGACTGGGATTATTTGTTATGTACTGTGCATTCCATTCTAAGATACAAATCATTTTCTAAAATTTTCTGAGCGATCTACTTGGGACGGCTACACCTGTCACCCTGCTGTGAACAAGCAGCTATCGCTGCTGCCACCGTTGCTTTCCTTAACACGAGACCTCATCTTGGCTGGGCTGGGTTTGCAGAGAGAGATGTTGCATCTGCCACAGAGGAATGCAAAAGAGAGGAGGGCGAGATTCAGCCCCTGTCAAACAATCGGGGATCACGGTAGCAAGACGACAGCCTCGAAAGTCTGATTCCAGCGACGACAGGGCTTTCTGAATCCCTCCGCCCCTGCCTTTACCTCGACACCTGCCACGGGAAGAAGTCTGCAGCGTCTGGCCAACCTCCCGGGAGGAAGCTCAGAGGCTGGGCTGTACAAAAGCACCTGTCAACACTGTGGCCCAGGTGAAAGAAAACCCAACCCGATCCCTAGCGACAGAGATGAGCTTCATTCAGGGCTCACCTGGGTGTCACTGCCTCTAGAGGAGAGTTCCCTATAAAATCATTTATGGAAAAGATTAGCTTCTGCATGTCCTTGCTACCTGTGAGTATACATGGGCTATGCACATAACCTGCAAAAGCTGTCTCATTTTTTTTCCCTCTGAATTACCTTCCATGTCTGCAAAAAAACAAAACCAACCAACAACAACAACAAAAAGCCCCAAACCAGGACCTGTTGTCCAACCTGTTGATTTATTTAATAGCACATCTTACTAAGTTACAAATATCCTGCTCATGCATGAAAGCAGAGACAGAAAAAATTCTGCTTGCACGTGATTCTGCACAATGCCGTTACCTCAACGAAAAAAAAGAAAAAAAGATCATAGACATGTGATCATACTGGAATGGAACAAGGGTCAATTCAGAATACTCTCTAATGATATGATTATTAGAATGTTATAGTCACTAGGATATCACTCTAATGTACACAAAAAGCTCTTATCCAACTGTGGCTCTATACGCCGACGACTATAGTTATAAAATTTGCCTTCGCAATTCTCCTTTCTGAAGAGGTATACACCCAATGCAAGTAGAAAATTCAAGAGCAGACCCTCAAAGGAAGAAGTAAGGACTGAATACGAGTTTTTTGTTGTTGTTGTTTCCCTCTAGTGTATATTGGCCAAGGGGATTAAGATCGTTGTTTCTAAGAAATCCTGGAATTCTCTAAGGCCTTGGGGACAAAATCTGGCAGGGTTCTCCTGTGCTACCAGCACGCCGTTTCTGGCCCAAGGCCACGACTTAAAACTTTAAATGGCAGAGCAGCCACCCTCTGCAAATGTCTGTCCTCTGTTTGGCATTTGAGTCCGACGCTCTTGGTATTTAGAGGGACATCGCTCGTATAGCACGTGCATGAGATATTTTTAGGGGGGACATTATACGAAATGCAAAGCGCTTAGCAGAAGGTCAGTCTGCATCTGGACGGTGCTACGGGGTCTGCTTGACACAGAACTGGGGACCACGTGGGGCTTTTCTGGCTCCCAGATGGCATAGCCGGGTCTGTGTCTCTCACACGAAGCTACTCTGATGCCTCCTACGTGTGAAATGCCCATCCAAGAGCATGCCTCGGGTCTCTGAACATGCACGCAATTCTATTATTATTATTATTTTTTTTTGGCATTTTTAAATAGCCACGACATCACTCACTGCAACGACTAACTTTACTTAGAAGCCAAACCACACGACATTGCACGTGCCTTCAGTAAAAGAGCATCATTGCTCCACGTACCTTCCTTGCAGTCGTGTTTGTTGTCGTGCAGCACGAACCCGCTGCGACACTGGCACTCGTAGCTCCCCATGGTGTTGACGCACTCGTGCTGGCACCCGCCGTTGTCCTTGGAGCACTCGTCCTTGTCTAGCAGAGAGACAGACCCCCACGGGTTAGCAAGTAACTCTGAACGCAAAGCACAGCGAAAGGAGAGTCCTTAGCTGCGGTTAACAGCGGCAGAGGGTAAACCAAGTCACAGCTTTTCCTGCTCCCAACATAAAGCCATGAAAGTTCATGGCTTCTTAGTTTCACCCTTTCCTTGTTTAGCTTGATCCCTGTACCACGGATCGAGTGCCCACCACCGCGTGGGCTGCGCTGGCAGACTTCAGCAGCCCTCTCCCACCCTACGCTGCGGTAGGAGTTTTGAACTCACGGAAAGGGACATCAACAGACAGTTTTCAGATTAACCCTAAGCGTTGACTGCTAGTTTTGAAAATGAAATTTAAAGCGTGTGTAGTTTGAATGCAGGCAAGGAACAGGATATCAACCACGGTGCAAAGACAGCAGCTAAACAAGGGTCCCAGATGTGTATGTAACCACTTTAAAAAAAAAAAATCACTCGGCCCAACTACTGGAGTCGATTTTTTTTTCTTTTGTCATCAACTTTGCAGCTGCGCTTGGCATGAACGCATCTGGACATCCCACAACACCCCGAGAGAGGAGAAAGCATCGCTAGACTATTCTGAAGAAGAAACTCAGCCCGTATACTTTAAGCAGATCTACTCTGGCCGACCGGTTTATTAGTGAGTGATCCCCTAACTAAAAGGGCGCTTAGCGTGCCAGAGGTGAAGGTGAGAGCAGGAGACAGGAGCTTTCAGAAGCAGCCAGCGAGACCGCTACGGGGAGAAAGCCAGGCGCGATCAGCGAGCCGTCAGTCCAGCGCGAGGCACCGCCCATCATGCCGTGTCACTCGGCTGTCATTCGCCCGGGCCGGCTCGTCCATGAATTTCGAACCTGGCCGATTGCCCCCGACACACACTTGTCACGGGACGTCACCCAGATGTCCATCACTCCCCCACAGGAGAGCAGGAGAGGACATAGGACAGTCACGGAAGCGAGGCCCAATTCAAACTTCACGCTCAGCTGGTCTTTCTGGTGAGCGCCGCAGAGCACACGGCGGCTCGCAGAGCCCACGGCGGCTCGCAGAGCACAGGGTGGCTCGCAGAGCTCGCGGCGGCTGGCAGAGCAAAGGGCGGCTCGCAGAGCACAGGGCGGCTGGCAGAGCTCGCGGCGGCTGGCAGAGCTCGCGGCGGCTCGCAGAGCGCACGGCGGCTCGCAGAGCGCACGGCGGCCCGCAGAGCACGCACGCTCTTGCCTTTTTATCAAATCCAGACCCATTCTACGGAAACAGGTGCAGGGAAGATATTTGTATCAGAGAATCTGATATTAGCTTTTAAATAGGCATCTATCTTTCCACTTTGGGATCCTAGTTCGACGACATAGCATAGACGTGCTTTAAGGAGATATTCACGTGCTGGCTGCGGTAGAGCATTTTAAACACAGACGGGCAATCTCGGTTTTTAAAGAACGTACCAGAATCAGTATGTCTGTGATTTATGTGTTCTACCTATCCCTGGCACTCCCATTACTCTTCCAACACACACTACGGAGAGTAAGCAAAAAGCAAATGAAAAAAGTAGAACAAAGAAAATTATTCTGTAAAAGAGCACCAAACATCGGAAAGTATAAAAAATCAGAAGTTAATAGAGAATTAGCTCTGTAAGATTAATTTCAGAGCAATTTATCATGACTTCGAGCCTGTACTTGCTTAACGATATCAGCAGTGAGAACGGTAGTCTAGAAACCACGGAAGGCCCACACAGAACGGGCGGGTGGAACCCACACCTTCCCCACCTGCGTTTTCTAATTCTGACAGTTGCGCAGAAAATTATTTTAATTTATCATTTTACGATGACTTCTCAGAGGCTGTTTACTTAAGAAGCGTCTGAAAAATGCTTCCTCACGAGTGAATGCAGAAATATAGCTCATCTTTGTCAAATGGAAAGAGCCGATTAAAAAAACTCTGATGCCAGAACCACTCTGAAATAGACACAAGTTTTTTTACGAAGATATTTACATGATGGAGGTTTCGTGCACTTAAAATTAGACCCGACAGCACGGGCTTTAAGCGTACTCCGGCTCGACCAGGTTTCTGAGATCTGTCTGCAAACCTGGCGAGTGCAGGCAGAGCAGCTTAAGAGAGGACCGGTCACCTTTGTCACTGCCCGGCAAACAGGGGGACGCTCAGAAACTGCCCCCCGAGGTAGAAACCACCTGAGTCACCCTTGTCTCGGTGGCTGTTTGAACTGCCATGCGTGAGAGACACAGAAACGTTAAAATACAGACGTGGACACACGGACTATTCAATAGCACATGCATCGCTGTTGGGCGTTCAAATGCATGGTCATTTTATAATGAAAAACTTCCCAAGACATAACATACTCCTCACGTCTGAACTTCACTGCAGTGGAAATGTCAACCACTAGCTTATACCTCCAAGTATAATTAGCTTCAAGGTTCGACAGAACATGAACTGACCTAAGGTAAGGTCACTAAAGAGGAATAGAATCTAAAGTAAAGCCAATCCTATGTCGCCAATCATTCGTATTTATGTTGTGCTGGAAAAACAGTGATTTCAAAAGAACTTTTGGAAGAAGAAAAAAAGAGGAGGAGGAGGAAGAAGGAGGGAAGAGAGGAAGGAGAAGAGATAGCAAAAAGGGATGAAGAGTTATTATTATTTTTATCGAGTCATTATTGTCTAAGTGTCTGTTATTTTTTTTACTTTTCCAGTTTATCATTGTTTCCCGCCTTCCTCCCCACATCCGATATTGCCCAATTTAATCGAAGTCATCAGTTAGGCTCCTATAATATATTTATGGGTTAATCTAAATTTCAGCTAAAATTCAAAACTGTACTGATCACAATGGTAGCTAAGAGCAGCAGAGGAAAGTTACGTCCAAAACCATAGCAGGTAAAACTGTGCGCCTCTGTGTGTGTCTAATAGTCATATGAAAAGAGAAAATTTCAGGAAATCATTGGAATACTTAAAATTATCAGATGTTTTATATCATGCAGATCCAAAAAAATAGCTATATTTTGAACAGTATTTTAAGTTTTCTAGGGAGTGGCAAATACAGTGTGGCTGTTTTAAAACTACTTGTTCGAACAGCAGCTAATAAACTATTGCAATTAAAGTGAATGCCAATTTTGGATTATTCATGCTGATGAGAAACAGCAACACCATAAAAGACAAGTTCTGCGAATTATATATTCTAGATTTTTTATTTATGAAAGGTCATTAAGCAGGGACAAGCTGTTAGCTAACATGGCTGGCTTATGTTTTCACTTTCCCTTTCGCCTCTTAGACAACAGCTCTCTGTTCTGAGGAATGAAAATCCAAAGGAAGGAGAAGGCAGGAGGGAGAGCACTGAACATTTCTCATGGTGTCTGCATAATAAACTTAATAACTGATAATTCTGTCAATAATTTATCTGAAATTTTCTGGCATTTCCATACACCAGACACAAAATACAGAGGAAGTAGTGTTTATTAGTGCTGGAAACAAATGTTTTTTTGCAGGAGAAATAAAAACATTTATTTTTTGCAGGTGGAGATCAGCCCCTTCTTTGGAATGGATGTGTCTGCCTTCCATTCCCGTGTTCCCCGTTAGGGAAAACGGAGAGGGTGTTTTCCCATTGGGGGGTGCAGCACCCCCATGACACTACCAGACGTCCTCAGTCCGTGGGTCGTACATACTGGGCGGGACTGACGCGGCAACCTGTGTCAAGTTCTTGCAAGATTCAAAGATAAAAAGTTTCTCTCTGCAGAAAGCTTCCTTATCTGTAGGAGAGAGAAGTCAATGGTCCAACGCAACAGAACGGAAACACGCAGGACCTGAAATCAACACTCGTGCACGCCACACGCAGAGCACACACAGATTCAACACAGGACAGCCGAGCACGTAATCACCTTCCCAAACGCACAGAGAAACTCTACTGAGAGCTGCAGAGACGACAGAGACAATGTGCTCTTTTGATAAACCATGCAGAGATCTAAATTTCATGAATAATGAAAACGTGGAAGCAGGATTCAAAAATCATCTAAGAAAGTTGTAGTAGTGTTACCATTTGCAATTAATCAAGTCTCACTGGAGTCATATGAGGTTGAATTTCCTCTACAGAAACCGACAACCGTTCTATGAGAAAAACCACGTGCAAGAACAGCCGTGAAGAAACAGCCATACACAGTGAAAGGCAGCTCAGACGAGGAGCCTGTCAGCGGAAAGCACTCGAGTTTGAGCCGGAATGACTGCAGTGGACAAAGCATTTGGTCTGACTCCCACATCTGCGACAGACAAATGAACCGGGAGTCAGGAAACGGGTTTTACTCCGTTTCTGCCTCTGAGCAAGTCACGGGCTCATCAGCAATAGTTAGATCACATTCCCATTAAAGTATTCCCTGAGGGAGAGTCCTATTAAATGGGATTTATTCTTCAAATTCTCTTCTCACTGTTGCCGAGGTTGTAATTGAGTCTTGTCATTAATACGGGGTTGCCGAAAGACGGTGGGAAGCCTGTGTGCTCAGCTCCTGTTGCCTAAAGTCATCTGTTACGTCGCACCCAAATAATGAGTACCATAATTACACGTTTAAAACCATGTCGAAAAACCATGTCGAGTTCCCAGCTGTTGCTGTTTTTAAATGTACAGAGTCCTACTAGGCTGGGTGTGGTGGCTCACACGTGTAATCCTAGCACCCTGGGAGGCTGAGGTGGGAGGCTGAGGTGGGAGGCTGAGGCAGGAGGATCGCTCGAGGTGAGGAGTTTGAGACCAGCCTGAGCAAGTAACTGTAAGTCTCTAGCAAAAATAGAAAAAATTAGCTAGGTGTGGTAGCTCACTACTTCTCCTGGTAGTCCCAGCTACTCGGGAGGCTGAGGCAGGAGAATTGCTTGAGCCCAGGAAGTTGAGGTTGCTGTGAGCTGTGGTGATCTACTGTATTCCAGCCCGGGTGATAGAGTGAGACCCTATCTCAAAATAATGATGATAATAATAATAATAAAGTCCTGCTAATATTTCCTTTAACCCATTTAAAGAAATTAACTTCGCTCTAAGCAGAATATAGTTAACTTTTCTTCACCACTTAAAATAAGTAAACTGTATCATGTACACCCTGCAGAGTTGAAAACTTGTGTTCAAATACAATATCATATAAAACTAAGCTTGGTTTTTATGTTCACATAAAGTAAATAATTATGTTTAATGGAATAACACATTTCATTCAGTCCAAGAAAATAACAGCATTATTATCTGTTGGACGACCCATTGTTGGATGACATATCTTCTAGAAAATGCCTGGTCACTATAGTCTCAATTAGCTAAAAGAAGATAATTCCATAATTATAGATACATAATTCCATATAATGTCCAAATAGTCCTATTTTGATATTCCTAATTTCTTTATTTGCTTTAATATTACTTTGTTATATCATTTTTTAAATATACCATGGAATCAGTGTAGCACATTACATGTTGATTTTATATATTTTATTCTATCAAATCCAGTAACTTTCCAATTTTCAAGCTGTGGCATCTTTATGGCTAATTCATGATATTCCATCGGAATTGACGTGTGAAACTTTCTTAATTTTATGAACACGGAAGTGATAGAAATCATTCATGTTAATTATTCTGCTAATAAGTTCTTAGAGTACCCTTTCAATTCCAATTCTTAAATCTCAAAAAAATGCTCACTTATAAATCTGAGACTATGTGCAAGAATAGCCAAAATCTTTTATGTGATTATTGTATTAGGTATTATTATGTAGGAAATAATACTACAAATGTATTATTTCTCTCTATACATTGAGATTCGAATATATTTCTTTACCTTTCTAACTGCTATATCACTTAAGTATGTGAAACCTAGAATTTATTTTTAAATAGCTTTCTTTTCTAAATAATGTGAAATCACTTATTTGCAAATGTTTTTAATTATTATTAAATTTCTTGAAAATTATTAGATGCTCTTGTAAAAAGAACATGGAAAACAATAACTGAACCTATCATATTCCTTGTTAAGTTTTCATAAAGCCAAAACTACTGAAATGTTTAGAACACCAGCTATAAACATAAGCATTTAAGACTGCCTTCATAAATTAGCTCTTGATTAATGTAGATAATATATTAACACATTTATTTGATTGCCTGTAATAAGATAATTAGAAACTTAATTCAATATTTTTTTAAAATTACCTTATGCTAAATATCTATTAACTCGTGAATAAATAGATGGATTTAAAAATTCCTTCACTTGCAAAGAAGATCAAAGTCTATCAGGCAATGTCTGCAAACTAGAAATACTTTAGGCAACAGGCAGGTAGAATATGACATATGTGTCTTTCTTCTGAAGTTATTTCTTTATTTAGATCAGAGGAAAACTCTTTGACGAAGATCGGAGAAAGCCAGGAGGCACCATCTCCGCCGGAGCTTTCTTCGTACTTTGACAGAACTACTCCCAGCTGCGACCCTCCCACGGGCTCCGCTGTCTGCACAAGGCACGGGGAATTTTATGCCTAGATTTCCACGAATATTGTGTCGTAGACGACTTTTTACGCCACGGAATCCTCGACCCATCTGGATGGTGCAGAAGAGCCCACAGAGGGCATTTGCTGGGAACTGTTCACAACTTTCCTATCGTCCCAACATTAGGCTGTGCCAAATTTCTGTCCCTACCACAGTATACTGAGATCCTTCTTCCAGATTTTGAAATGTCGCTTTATGACAGAGTCCCATTCTTGGAGGCAAACGGAAGGGTCACTTTAGTGACTCTTGATTCCTATGCTAAATTTCTTTCGAAAGGGGTTGCGACAATAAACCCCATAACCTGCCGTATCCGATCCCCCAGTGGTGAGTTTTGACATTAAAAAATAACTGTCTGCTTTGTGAAGTCCAAGGTGACTACGATTCCCATACTTAGTTTCTAAGCGATACAGTTACAGAGAAGTATCTGGCTGGTAACACACAGTCACACAGGGTGATACTTAAGGCATCCGCAGAACTCTGAACTGTAGGCGCTTTCAGTGTGAGCAGATATTTTATAAAACAGAGATGAAGACCACAGGCGCTCACGGGACGGGCAGAGCTCAGCTCTCTCTGCACCCGAGTGGCAAGAACGAAAGACGCACCTCTTACATTTGGACAGTGCTGCTCTGAAGACACAAATAAACAACCTGTCTTTAAGATTTGGAAATAATTTTTGCCTGGCCAAAAATATTAGAAAATGAATTTTAAATATTTTGAGTAACTAAATTTAATTGCACTTTCTAGTCAGCATTTATAAGCCTGTATTTTTTTTTTTTTTTTTTACAGTCTCACTCTGTTGCCCAGACTAGAGTGCCGTGGCGTCAGCCTAGCTCACAGCAACCTCAAACTCCTGGGCTCAAGCGATCCTCCTGCCTCAGCCTCCTGAATAGCTGGGACTACAGGCATGCGCCACCACGCCCGGCTAATTTTTTCTATATATTTTTAGTTGTTTTTTTTTTTTTTTTTTTTTTTAGTAGAGTCAGGGCCTCGCTCTTGCTCAGGCTGGTCTCGAACTCCTGAGCTCAAGCTATCCACCTGCCTTGGCCTCCCAGAGTGCTAGGATTACAGGTGTGAGCCACTGTGCCCGGCCCAACCTGTATTTTTTAAAGAAATTTTAAAAAATGAAATAGATGACTAAGGTCATGTGAAAAGGATCCTGAATACTTCAAGTATTATGGCAGAATTAATTTACTTCATAATTTTCATTTTTAAAATACATATTTAGATGATTCTAAGATAAGTACTCTTGACTCTACCCAACTACTGGGTTGCCTAAACCTTGAAAAATACATGACATATATAAAATAGGGAAGTCTTAAAGAAAGCCTTCCTTTCATTAAAACAGGACAGTAAAATTACAGTGTGAATAATATAAAATCTTAAATGAATGCCCGAGAAGAATTTTTAAAAGGTAATTAAATCTGGGCGAAAAGAAGGGAACAAGGGCAAGGCGCTGAAATCCGCTGCGTTTGGAGGCTCTTTTGTACGAGCTGGAACTCAGTGGAGCTCGCAAACCATTAACCTCAATTACTCTGAAAACCCCCAACAAACCCTGGACATTGTAAATCTCATTAATTTTAAACACATGGGGACCAGAATAAATGGACTTTGAATTAACTCAATCCAAATTACCTCATATTAAAACATAATTGGCATTCAGGGGCTTCAAGTTGCAGAGGCAGGCCATATCGCCACACTGCGCTTCATTACAATTTTATCCAGTTTTGAAGTTTCGGAATAATGTTCCTCTTTTTTAAAAACATTTTCTTTATTTAAATTTCAGAGTATTATGGGGGTACAAACTCGAGTTATGAATTTATCCATCCTCTATTCCCCTTCCATTCTGAGATTGAGAAAATAAGGAAAATTCACTGAGGTTTTCGTATATTTTCATAAAATCTGGGGAGCCGTTATCAAATTTCGGCTTTTTAAGAGGGACATGCACTTTGAGTAGGTTAAACTAAATGTTAAATTCCGAACACAGAAGTGCAATTCATTAAATATACCTGATGCTATATTATCTTTACTAAAATTATAATTTCCGTATTTCCAAGTCTCTCACTGCAATCATTTTTATAGTGATGAGACAAGGCATGATTTTACTATTAGCCTAATAATAATGAAAATATAAAATAAGAAGACATACATCACTAAATTGTAAGAATAAAAAAATGTGTTGCTCGAATGAGGCCCCGTTTTCCAAAAACAAAGAAAAAGTATTTTGAGAAAACTGCCATTTTTTTTTTTTTTGAAGTCTGGTGTTGTTACTGCCCTCTACTTGCGGAGAGTAAAGTCACTGCATGAAAATAGTACTGTGCTTACTTTTGCGTTATTTGTGTCAGCCCACGTAATGTTTCCTTAGACTTTATACAAGATCTAATTGTTTGAGGGTGACATTTGCTTCACTAATATTAGAATATTGGTATTCTAATTCCAAGCGAACACCGTTAAGCCCAGGGTCAACGGCCGCGCACTCTTTGTACCTCCAAGGTGGCACACAATTGAAGCCCACACGCACTGAAGAGCTGTCACACACGCCCACGCCACACGTGACTGCCCCTACCTGAGAAGAAGTGCGCTCTGAAGCCCTTCTTGGACACGGTGTTGTCAGACCTGAACTCGATCCTCATGTTGTTGAGCTGCGAGGTGATCACCTCGGGCACTTCGGCGCCGCAGAACCTGCCGTGCAGCTTGGACTCGGCGGACAGCCCACTCCACACCTCCACGTAGTCGTACTTGCACACCTGGGTAGACAAACTGGAATTAACATGCAAAGGGAAAAAAATAAAATAAAATCCAGAAAAGGATTCGGCTCTGAAGCAGAGGCTTGGAAGAAAGACAAACCGGAGAAGAGTTCTGCTCTGAGTATCTGAGACCCGCGGATGCAGATGCGTGCTTGTTTGAGCATACTAATAGCACGCATCCTTTCCAAAAACACAAAGAGAGAAGGAGAACTGTCGAGATGGATATTTGTTGAGATGATGTGAGCAACAATCGCTGCCTCTTTTTTAAAAAATAAAAATAGTTTAAATTGTCCGTGGGAACTATGAAAGTACTCGGCATGTACTCTTGTACTCAGCACTGACAACGATTACATGAAACTGGTACACTTGGCCTATGCAACAATCGCCGCCCAGAGAAATAATCCTTTTTGCTGTGGAGGTGGAAAATCCGAGGTTCACAAATTTTTATATGACGTGCCCCAAATCACACTCGTACATGGCGCTGCGGTGACTAACACGCGTGGAATTTTGGGCCAGTCCTGTTCTGCCTCCCAGAAACACCACACTCTAATCTCAGAGTAACACCTGTAGTGACTTCCAGAGTGAAAGACAGACACTTAGTGTATAATGCAAAAGGTCCTTCGCCTTTCAAGCTTATTAAAAGGACCGATTCCTCTTAATTTCCTCGAGTTGCTAGGTATCCTGTGGATCTGCAGGATTGCAAGCACGTGGGACTGGACCCAGGGGACGGAGGCAGGAATGAATACTGAAATGAGGTCGGCCCACTCGGATTTACGTGCAATGTACTAGCAGCATCAACACGGAGCAAGCTAAATGAATGCCAGGTGTTCTGAAGCAACGCAACGGCCACAGACAGATGTTTCTGTCACACGGGCTTACAAAGTTCCAGCAGGGCACATGCTGGAGAACACGTCTTGCATGAGTGACCTCATTACGTAAACGTGTAATTAGCAGGGTTTAACAATGCATATGATTGAACCCCGGGGCATGGTCTGTCCTTTGAAATAACGTCAACTCAAATCACTGGTTCTTGCAATATTAATTAGGCGGCAGATAAGCAGAATGCTGCTGGGGAAATGAAGTCACCTTCTACCCGCTTTGTGACAACTGCCACTTCGGTTTAGAGAGGGCACCAAGGCAACACAAAAGGACACGTCTGTGGCTAACGTCTTCCGAGATTCACTGTCCTTCAGGACATCAACGTGACAGACAGAGCAATGACGTTCTAAACTCATGGACTCGTCATCCTGTAAGTCACATTTTCTCAGGACACATTTTGTTTTAAACAGCCAAGATTCCAAACTATGAAAACACACAGGATTCTGCACCAGTTGTTTCCACGGTAACACCGTTCATTATAAATTAGAGAATTCTGGGCTGTATTAACGAAGTCTGTAAAGAGCTTTCTACGAGTGAAGAACTATTACCACAGCCTTTCAGACCACAGCGCCCCATCTGTGTAAAACCATTCGCCCTCCTCCTCCCGAATACAAACCTCCAGCCTTCTTAGAAAGATCTACCGCTGAATGGCTCAAAACGACACACACAGCTTGAGAGAAAACTACGGGAGTGGAAGTCATACAACACCAAGTTCATATCAAATCGCGGAACTGGTAGGGAAATTACCGTTTTCAAAACACATGGCTCATATAAAAGTTTTTCTAAAAATATTATAGAAATCATTATTTTCGTTTCAATGTTTCCTTAAATTTGAAGCAACTATTAAAGGAAGATGATATTTCACATTGACAAATTATGTTAAAAGGATAAGTTACCATCTTTGCCGTCATAAAACTTAATGTGAACAACAACAAAAAATCTCAGACAAGCATATTGAGTTCTAAGATGCCACAGTTCTCTGAAGTACATAAGCTCATCACATTTCAGACTTTAATATCCTTTAAGGGAACATAAAAGTCAGCTACCTGTTTTTACCTTAAAGCTATCAGTAAGAGATTTAAAAAAAAATAACAAGTGCCTGGGCTACTACAAGTAGAATTAAGGGAAAAAATGTAATTAAACGGAAAGAAAGAAAAGTAGACAGAAAAGCAGCAGCAACGTCAGATATATGAAGGCAAAATTATGGCATAAACCCCACAAATATTACCAAAAATCACTGCCCAAGGGGCACAGGCAGATATATATCAAAGGAAAATAATTTTGAGTTAATTTTATCAAATACAGAAGGGTTGAATCATGTTCACTTGAAACTACACACAGAAAAAAAGTTGTTGGAGAAAGGATGCAAAATAAGTTAGTAAAATAAAATAAAAATACAGCGGATTAAACAAAACACATGTTTGTAACCTTCTCTCTGGAATTAAACCAGCATCGACCAATCATACAAAGGACATTTTTCTAAAAGTTCTCATCTCAAGCTTGACATTGCGTTTGAACTTGGTGTGTGTGTGTGGACTAGTACATAGGAATTTTCAAATAAATGATCTCCCTTGTTTAGGTGTGGCTACCTGACAGCACATCTGTAGTAAAGCTACCTTTTGTAAAGGAAAAAAATAACTTCCGCTAAATGCATCCTTTATTGAGGTTAAAAAAAAATTAATCTTTCATTGTGAACCATGAGCATAAAAAAAAAAAAAACTACTTACCTAATGAAAATATACCCATTTCCACAAGTAAAATATTCCAGGTTATCCCAGATGGATATTGTTTGTCATGACTCAGCCAGTGGATTTTGGGTTTTTGTTTTTTTTTCTAGAAAAGTCTGTGTGTCCTGAAGCTGACCCTGAATACCCCACAGTTTTTTAATGAACCAGGGAAGTGGTACGTATTAAATACACCAAGTAAAAACTCCCCCCGGGTAATTTCCAATCTCCCAGAAACACCCAGCTCTCATCCGACCCCATGAGAACCACAGAGCAAGGCGTCCACACTGTCTTGCTGCATTCTTTCCTTGCTGTCTTCTTCTTGCCTAGTTTGCCAGTCTGCCTTCAGGGACTTCTACAACATGATAAAAAGAATAGCGCTTATTCCTCACTTACTTCATTGCCTTCCAATTCAAAAGTCTCGAACTTCACGGAGATCCGGTACTGGGTGGGAGCCACCACCTGCCACACGCAGTTCTTGTTGGGCGGGTACTCCTTGGGCCAGCCCGGCGTGGTGATCGTGCCATTGAGCTTGCTGAGGAGCCCGCCGCAGGCAGCTGGGGGGGGGGGGGAGGGAGAAAACGGCGGGTGCTTTTAATAAATCACCCCTCTTAGCACCAAGCGCCTCAGTATTTAATCCCAGCCACCTTCTGGAGCAGTCCTTGCTCCTTAGTCTTTACACAGTTACTTTAATAACCAAGTCCCATTTACAAAGTGTGATTTGGTAGCTTTGGAGCAAAGTATTGTGGCCATGGCAACACTTTAGGTCACAGTACAGTCGGGTGAGCGACAGAAAGAAAACTGGGTCTCGGTCTTCCTATCTTTCAAACGGGTATAATAACATCTTGCGGTTCCCTGGCAACTACAGAATTAAGAGAAAAATAAATGGGTGAGCACTGATCGTAGTTTTGTGAGAATCAAGGAAAAGACACATGCAAAGCACAGGATAGTCTGATATAGTGAGAACAAAATTGTTTTCTTTCTGTTTCCTCAAACTCTTTTTCTTCTCGGACAAGGAACACTGTGTCACTGGCAGGCGGAATAAATTACGGTGAACAGAATGCGTTTGTTGTTCTTTATTCCTATGAGGGAGACACACCCACAGCCTGTGTCGGGAAGACACAGACAGGTGGTGGGTGGAGGGAAGAAGGGATTCATAAAGATCTAGATCTAGAAGCAGAGAGAAACAGACACAGATATTTCAAAACACACAGACACAGTGGGCTGGTGTCATGGATGGAGGGTGGGCAGGTGGATGGATCTAGGTCTAGACAGAGACATAGGTACGAGCAGATATAGACACATTAGTAGACCGATCTATCTACCTATCTATATCTACCTACATACCTATATCTAAGCAAGGCCGCCTGGTGATGAGTGGTAGAAAGGGCTGACTCTACTATCTATCTACCTACCTATCTATCCATCCATCCTTCCATCCATCTATCCATCCATCCATACATTCATATATCCATCCATCCACCTATCCATCCATCCACCTATCCATCCACCTATCCATCCATCCACCTATCCATCCATCCACCTATCCATCCATCCACCGATCCATCCATCCATCCATCCATCCACCCACCTATCCATCCACCTATTCATCCATCCACCGATCCATCCATCCATCCATCCATCCATCTATCCATCCATCCATCCACCTATCCATCCACCTATTCATCCATCCATCCACCGATCCATCCATCCATCCATCCATCCATCCATCCATCCATCCATCCATCCACCCACCCACCTATCCATCCACCTATTCACCCATCCATCCACCGATCCATCCATCCATCCATCCATCCACCTATCCATTAATCCATCCATCCATCTACCCATCCACTGATCCATCAATCCACCCATCCATCCATCCATCCATCCATCTATCCATCTACCCATCCATCCATCTATCCATCCATCCATCTATCCATCTATCATCCATCCATCTATCCATCCATCCACCCATCCATCCATCCATCTATCCATCTACCCATCCATCCATCTATCCATCTATCCATCCATTCATCCATCCACCCATCCATCTACCCATCCATCCATCTATCCATCTATCCATCCATTCATCCATCCATCTATCCACCCATCCATCCATCCATCCATCCACCTATCCATCCACCCATCCATCCACCCATCCATCCATCCACCCACCCATCCATCCATCTATCCATCCACCCATCCATCCACCCATCCATTCATCCATCCATCCACCTATCCATCCATCCATCTATCCATCTACCCATCCATCCATCCGTCCGTCCGTCCGTCCATCCGTCAGTCCGTCCATCCATCCATCTACCCATCCATCCATCCATCCATCCGTCAACATCTAAGCGAGGCGGCCTGACGACCAGAGGAGGAGGGGCCGACTCTAGGTCAGGGTGGGGAGGTCCCACATCGGCCGTGACTGTGAACTGAGCCTTCCCAGCTGAGGACAGAGGTTGCTGTCCACACGGGGGACAGGGTGGGGACGGAGGCAGGGTGAGAGGAGGAGGACACATGGAAGGAGGGACAGGGCCGGGCCGGGCAGCGTGACCCCCTACCTTCGCAGCCCCTCCTGTCGGGGCCCAGCTCGTAGCCGGGCTCGCAGGCGCACTGGTAGCTGCCCAGCGTGTTGAGGCAGCGCTGCTCGCAGCCGCCGCGGTCCGGCTTGGCGCACTCGTCCTCCTCTGCGGAGAGGGTGACAGTCACAGAACAGCCATTTAGCTTTCGTGCACAAGCCTGGGAATCTTTTCTTAAAGACACGGCGCTCAGTGGCCGTGGATACAATTCACGATGGAGACAATTCACGGCTTCAGCCGACGAGCAGGAGCAACATGTAAGCCCCTAATGCATATGCAGAAATCCAGGTCGCCGCGGCTCGGAGCAGAACCAAGGGGAAACGGGAGACCGCGGCCGGACCTGCTAAGGTCAGCCGGTCTCAGACCCAGCGCCTGAGATCTGTGAGTCTGAGGTCAACGGGCGCCACGAAAGCCCAGAGATTTTCCGGAAAAGAAATAAACAAACTTACTGAAAAAAAGCATGATTTCACCTGATTTCACAGCACCGTTTTCCAGATATATCCATCCCCAAAAATGCTTTTTAAAGAAATGCCATTACTAAGAAACAGATCGTGGGAAATAAAATTAAAAAGAAATGTAATGCAGAAATTGACTGGACCTCTTTAAATTGAAAATATTATGTTTCTTATACAGGCATTTTGGTCCATAAAATATAATAACCTCATATTTTCGTAAATACTATATGTATAATTGTATATGGAAACATGAAAATGTATAACATATATATTAAAACATATGCTACTTTTAAAAATTTTGTGATTTTTGTCATATGTCAATATTATGTCATATGATTTTATGATTAAAATGCAGAAATTGACTGGATCTCTTTAAATTGAAAACATTATGTTTCTTATACAGGCATTTTGGTCCATAAAACATAACAACCTCATATTTTCATAAGTAGCATATATACTATATAATTGTATATGGAAACATGAAAATATACAAAATATATGTTAAAATATATACTACTTTTAAAAATTTTATGATTTTTGTCATATGTCAAGAATATTATCATGTCATATGATTTCATGATTAAAGTTTATATGGCAGTGCACTCCATAGTCTCACTTTTCAGGGAAAACCTAAGTAAGTTAGGCAAGTAGTTAGCACCCTCTAGAGAAATCATGCACCTGCAAAACAGTTAGCTTTGCTGATAATTCAATATACAAGTATCACATGAAGGAGCTTGACAGCATGTTTCTTCTGCTGTGAAATATGACATGTACAGCAAATGCTAAACAAGTTAATGTACATTTTAATACATGTAGTAAAGGTGCCAAGTTTGTCCACCTTTCAGTTTCTGTGGCGAATACCTAAACACCCCCAGGGAAAACACATCACAGTGCTCTTCTTCACAGCAGGGAAATATTTCCATATCTGTCACTCTGAATTTTGACACTCACACAACTGAATCCTTTATCCTAGTCTATACCATGTCATCTACAAAAATCAAGGTAAAGGACAATTTTGTTTTTTCTTCCTATAAAAAAAAATTGCATTCTATAATGATATACGAGTGCCTACGAATTTCCTAAATGCATAGTTGATGTTACTATTTGCACTAAAACTGCTTTCTTTTTCCTTCGGTAATACACGCCAAACACGGGGCATGAGAATAAACTAAAGTGTAACTACGGAATTCAAAGTGAAAGCTAATCGGTCATAATTCTTTGTCAAAGAGACATGTCAGACATCACAGGCAGATACTCTGCTAAGGAGGTCGCAAACTTACATCCGACGTGGGCGAGAGCTACTCCGCAGCCGTGGGCTGCAGGCCGGGCCCAGTCTGCAGAGGAAAAACCGTCTTCCGTGCCAGTCAGGCAGGCGTGTGAAGCTTTCTCGATACTCACAGCTACCCCCGTCATTGGCACCCCCGCCTGAGCTCCTGCCTCCAAACTCTCCCAGTTTGGAAGAAAAATTATAAGAAAAAGGGAAGAAAAACTGTCTTCCCTGAAACCGGTCCCTGGTGCCTGGGGACCGGTCAGTGCTAGTTTAGAAATGCTGCTGCCACCTGGAAATAATTTAATGAACTCCGTAGTTTCTCCCAGTCTGTACAACCCTTCCTTGGTCTTGCTATTTTGACTATCTCGTTCAAAACAAAGCACGCAGGCGGCAGAGTACCCTCCCGTGGTTCCCGCCCCGGGCTACGGAACTACGAACTCTGGTATTCCACCGACAGCGCTCCCGTCAAAACCCACCGAAATGCCCTCGTGCCAACTCCAACTTTCAATACAACTTTCCCCAGGTCTCCCTTAACTGGGGGATAAATGCCCCTGGGTTCCCGGCAGAGGAAGTCCCACACCGGCAAGCCATTTCGAATCACCTTTGAAGAAGTTGGCAGCGAAGCCGGCCTTGTTCACCGTCCCGTCGGAGACAAACTTCACCCACAGGGCGTTGGAGGAGGAGCGGATGTCTTCCGGCCTGTCGTAGCCGCAGAAGCGTCCTATCAGCGGGCTGTCCTCCCCGGCCCCGTCTCGAACTTCCAGGTAGTCGTAGGCACAGCTGTCGTGCCTTTCGACCTGCAACGGGTAAAGACTCGTGACCGTGCGTCTCGCTCCCGAACAGAACGCCCTCTGCAGGAAGACGCACGTGTTCTGGGCGCTGCTGCTGCTCCACAACACGAAGGGTCGCTTGTATCTTAATCGACACACCAGCATTTCTCGCGAGTGTGACCGTCACGGCCACACCACACCTGAGCAAAGAACAACATCATTCTGCTAGAGCAGCCAAGAAAGAAAAAAAGGCCGATGGAAAACTGCGTCCACACGAGTCAGGGTCAACAGAAGTTAACTGACTTTCTTTCTTTTTTTTTTTTTTTTTGACAACTGGAAATCCTTTTTTTTTTTTAATGTATCCAAAGAAAATACAGTTTTTAGAATCATTAGCGTGAGAAGAATGAGAAAGAAAATTGGCCGAAACCTGAGAAAAGATGGCCTTTATAGCAAGATGCAAATTACTGAAGTTAACTGTCTTTCTTTTTTTTTTTTTTTACAACTAGAAATCCTTTTTTTATTATGTACCTAAAGAAAATACAGTTTTTAGAGTCATTAGTGTGAGAAGAAAGAGAAAGAAAATTGGCTGAAACCTGAGAAAAGATAGCTTTTATAGCAAGAGGCAAATTACTGGCCCCTTCTGGGAGGTGTCTGGTATTTTTAATAAAATGTTTGGACAACTTTGTTAAAGATTATTACCAGTATTACCAGTAAAAATATTACCAGTGTTCCCAGGACCATATATCTAGAATGCAAAAGAATTAACAAGAAAAAAATCAAACAACCCCATCAAGAAATGGGCAATGAAAATGAACAGAAATGTCTCCCAAGAAGACAGAATAATGGCCTGCAAACATATTTTAAAAAAGCATAGCTAGAAGTTAACTGTCTTTTAAAAGAAAACTAGATCCTTGTGTAGTCCAGAGTAAGGATGGAGTTTTCACACTCCTTTGCAAGATGTGCCTCCCTCAAAGCTTGTTACGTCGGCATATTACCTATGACATGAAATAAATTAAAAATAGAAAAGTTATAAGCAAATTAAATGACAATTAGTAACTCTTTAGTAAGCCGAGCCAAAAAAAAAAAAAAATTCAGAATTAAAATGACTGGTGAAAGTCTGGGCAGAGAAGCACTTTAAATTTTAATTCACAGTATGTTCACTAGTTATTTAATAAAAATTGGAGGTTAAAATATTTTATAAGGTACACAAAGCGTAAACATTTCATGGGTAAAAATAACTAATTTTAGGATGAATTCCACCACTAGTACCTCTTTATCAATTATGTATTATGTACATATTAAATATTATGCACCTGCTATTCAGGTAACAAAATAGAAATATACACTGGATTCTCACACTGTAAATGCTAGAGTTGTCGAGTTGCCTAGAAAATAATACGTGCCTCATCCACACGAATTCACGATATTCAGAAATACATTATCTGTTCGCAACAGGAATCCTACACGTGTTACCAATGACCTGAACGGTCTTGGGTCACATATTTTTTCAGTTTAACCTTAAGGGCAATTATACCTGCACAATGAATCTTCTCTATGTGTGTTAATTATAACCATTAAGTATAGTTAATTATAAATATTTCAGCAACTAGGTCTACACAGAAGTAGTAACAGTAAGCACGAACCAAAGTTTGAGTTATTTTATTTGTGTCACTTTCTCCCACTGTATCAAACTACTTCACCAGTCAATATGCGGAACGGATAGAAATAAAATACGGTTGAAGCTAAAATGTGAATCAGGTCCACTGACATAGTTATGCCAGTGACCTTATGCTCCATGAGAAAAAGAACATCAAGGTCAATGACTTTAAGAAGAAAAAAAAAAGGAAGGAAGGAAGGAAGGAAGCAAAGAGGGAAAGAAAGAAAGAGCAGTTTCTTCCTGAGTTAAAGCAGGGCTGAGTTCAAAGGGCTGGAAGCTAAACATGATGCCACGCACAATTACACATCACAAATATGTTTGGATACTGCGGATGCTGATTTATTACAGACTTCAAGGTAATTAGAGCATAAGCCGTAAATCAATGTGGCAAGTTTATCATGACATAAACAGAACTGATACGTAAGAAAGAATATGGCGGAAGTGACAGTAAGCTCTGGACATTTTTTGGAAAACTGATATCCGAATGGCATTGGAAGTAGATCCCAATGCACAGAGAAGCAAGAACGAGCACAGAGACTGGCCAGAGGGATTAGTGTTACACTTTATCACTAAGTGAGGGCCCATGTCTTTAATTGCAGGGTGGGCAGAAACCATTGGAAAAGTGAGGGATTTCTATTTAAAACAACTAAAATAAATTAAATTTAACCAAAGGCGGTCAACCTGTCACTCTGAAACTGCCCGCCTGTGCAGAGCTTACAGTCCGTGCATGTGGGGAGCGCCAGCCCTGAGGGAGACCCGTCTGGGGGCAGACGCAGGCCCCAGGACCCGGCACGTGGTTTAGTTTATAACCAAATGTCCAAATAAATGTAGCATTGCACAAACATCTACTGCAGTGCCAAATTGTTTATAAAAAGCTCTCAAAGCCGGGTGTGGTGGCTCACGCCTGTAATCCTAGCACTCTGGGAGGCCGAGGCGGGAGGATCGCTTGAGCTCAGGAGTTCGAGACCAGCCTGAGCAAGAGAGAGAGACCACGTCTCTACTAAAAATAGAAAGAAATTAGTTGGCCAACTAAAAATAGTAAAAATTAGCCGGGCGTGGTGGCACCTGCCTGTAGTCCCAGCTACTTGGGAGGCTGAGGCAGGAGGAATGCTTGAGCCCAGGAGTTTGAGGTTGCTGTGAGCGAGGCTGACACCATGGCACTGTAGCCCAGGCAACAGAGTGAGACTCTGTCTCACACACACACACAAAAAAAAAACCTCAAAACTCCAAAATTTCTAGATAATAGGTTCAGTAAAATTCACGCTCCCTAAAAAATTAAAAAGAGAATTATAATACCACGTGACCCAGCAACACCCCTCTGGGTAAATACCCAAAAGAAATGAAAGTGTTGCCTCGCAGAGACAACCGCACACCTGTGCTCACAGCGGCATTACTCCCAATAGCCAAGAGGCGGGAGCAACCCAGGTGTTCTTGACAGAAGAAAGGACAAACAAAATGCGGTGTTTACATGCAATAAAAATACTCTTCAGCCTTCAAGTGGAAGGGAATTCTGATACATGCTACAACATGAGTGAAGCTTGAAGGCACCATGCCGAGGAAATAAGCCAGTCGCAAAAAGGATAAATCCGGCATGATTCACTTATTTGAGGTACATAGAAGTAGTCGGACTTGTAGAGACAAAGAATGACGGTTGCCAGACACCAGGGCAGAGGGGTGCAGGGCATTGCTGTTTAACGGGTATAGAGTTCAGCTCTGCAAGATGGAAAAGAGATCCGGAGACTGGCTGCACAACCATGAATGGACTAAAAACACTACTGAACTGTACACTTAAAAAATGGTTAAAATGGTAAATTTGATATGACGTATATTTTACTATAATAAAAAAAATACCCCCATGACTGTTACAATGTAGCTTTAAAATACAACCTATGCAATCAGATATGATTAATGCAATAAAATTGACACAACCTTCATACCTAATATCATTTAAAATGATAGACACTTGGAGCAATGTTAAAGCAAAGTGTTTTGCTTTTGAGGAAAATGTTAAAGAAAACTATGACGAATGAAAAAAATCTAGTAAAGGCTAATGCTGTGAACAAAAGAAATTTTGAATGAAAAAGGGAAAAGTTTAATACATAGATAACTATCTTTAATTATATATTTATTTCATAACATTTCAGTAATATTTAATATTAAACTAATAGTATAATAATACACAGATAATTACAGCTAAAAATAGGGAGAAAAATATGCTCAAAGTGTCAAAATCAACAGCATAAGTCTTGCTTAGGTTTATTTTCATGTGAATCATTTATTTAAATCCTGTCACTTCACTTTTTTTTTCCCCTCTATGACATAAGTATTTTGCATTTACTCATGCATTTAATAATTTTATTGACAACTTGCTATGGTGAGATAATATGCACATTCTATCAAGTGCATATTACCTGGCCATAGTATGTAAACAGCGGTGAGTAAACAGATATATCCCTGACTGACAGAAGTGATCAAACAACACAACGTGCACATGCAAAGTTATAAAAGGGAAGAATCAATGCCATGATAAAACCCCAACGCCTCTGTTTGCTAGCAGGACACAGTGACATAAATGCACAGACCCTGCCTTGGTTTCAATCACAGAGCTCCCAGGTATGCGATCTTGGGCAAGTTTATTTAAACTAACAAGGCCTAATCTTTCGGATACAATGATAGCCTAAACCATAATTCACAAAGAGCTGCTTAACTCTTTTCTGTTATAGTCATTTACCAATACTCTCAGCTGAGCACCCAAAAATAGTACACAGCTAGCAGAAAATCGTTAGCTAATTAAAACCTCCTTATCTCAACTTCTTAGTTCATTCACAAAGACTAGTCTACTTATCGTAAACTAATAAAAAATATTTAAGGGATTTAAAGGATTACTTTGAGACAGGCAATCTACCAAGTACCAGCATAAAAACTTAAGCACAGAGTTCAGAAAGTTACAGCTCACAGCCATGACAGGCTGTTAAACATCTGTGGGTCTCATAAGGGAAGTACCGCCAGATCAGAATGTGCAGCAACGTTGACAAGGACATCAAACTTAATCCTACTTGAATTAATGTATGTGGGGATTTGAATTTAAACAAAAGTAAGCTCCAGATTTATTTCATTTCTTTTCTGCTTTATTGACATTTCTTTGAAGTTGTTACTATAAACATTTCCAGTCTCCCAAACATGTTCTCATCTGTATTTCTGCCTGCTGGAAGTTCTCAAATAAAATAGGAGTGCTAGAAGCTTCCTTACAAATGTCCCTGCTGCCGAACAGAGGACAGCTTTCCAAATTCACTTGGGAGGGGCTCTACACTTACATACAAACTCACGACACTGTATCCTCCTTACGGAACAATGTATCATGCCACGAAACAATGTATCCCACTACGAAACAATGCATCCTACTACATAACAATGTGTCCCGCCACTAAACAATGCGCCCCACCATGAAACAATGTATCCTTCTATGAAACAATGCACCCCACGACGAAGCAATGTATCCTGCTACAAAACAATATAGGCCACCATGAAACAATGCATCCTGCTATGAAACAATATAGCCCACCCTGAAACAATGCATCCTGCTATGAAACAATATAGCCCACCCTGAAACAATGCATCCTGCTATGAAACAATATAGCCCACCCTGAAACAATGCATCCTGCTATGAAACAATATAGCCCACCCTGAAACAATGCATCCTGCTATGAAACAATATAGCCCACCCTGAAACAATGCATCCTGCTATGAAACAATGCAGCCCGCCATGAAACAATGTATCCTGCCATGAAGCAATGTATCCCATCATGAAACAATGTATCCCGTCATGAAACAGTGTATCCCGCAATGCATGGAGAAGGAAAAGCTTCCTGTCTTAGCCTGTTGCAGATGGTGTGAGAAAACACCATAGGCGGGCATCTCACAAACAACAGAAACATATTTCTCACATCCTGGAGGCTGGAGGTCCAAGACCAGGCACCGGCACCTTCAGTGTCTCCTGAAGGCCCCTTCGCGGACGATGCCTGCTCACTGCGCCTCACAAGGCAGGAGCTCCTGCACCTGTCTGGTCAGGACACTAGCCCCATTCAGGAGACCCCCCACCCCCGCACGACCTAATCACTCCCCAAAGGCCCCCCTGCCTGACGTCATCACCTTAGGGGATAAGATTTCAATACACACATTTTGGAGGGATGCAAACATTCAGACCGTGGCACTTCCCAGACGGCATAATAACAGAAGTACCAGCGTCCATCACCCTCCAAACAGCGCCCCTTCTTGCTCAGAGACGCCTGGGTGTCACCTGCAAGGTGCTGACGCAGACTTTGTTTCTGCCTAACGTTAAAACCCAAGTAGCCCCAGGAAGGGCACAGCCGTGACACCACCCCCCACGTGAAGGCACGGATGATGGACAGCACGTAAGTTCTTCCCAGTGGATTGCAAAGAATGATGTCAGGTCTACCTCACCGGCAACACAGAGATAAAAAAAGAAAAAAAAATACAAACAGTCTTTGAAAAAAGGCAGAGACTAGAATTAGCAATTAAAAACTGCTTTGTCAGACAAAACAACGGAACATTGAGAATGAGGACATTTTAATCATACATTTTCAACATAAAATATAAAATCTGCATACTGAAAACATTATGTAGACAAAAATAAACTGATGCAAACAGATAACTGACCAAATTAACCCACCTAATGACTAGGAGAACACATAAGAAACTATTAATACATGCAGCTACTTCTTGATGTTCACAGTAGTTATGCTCTGTAGCATCACTGAGAACCCTGAATTAGCAAACACTGAGTCACTGATCCTAGGATAAAGGTTGCTGCAAGATTGCAGTCACGAAGTTGGTGTTAACCAATCAACATGTAACCTTGTTTTACGTGTGTTCCTGTTTAAAAACATAGTAGTGTATGCTGTCAATCCATCATCACTGAGCTCATGCCCAGTGGCGTCATAGCTCATGCCTGGATGAGGCTTGTGTGACCCACGCCTTCTCAGGAAAGCACATGACAGCTGCCATGTGCGTGTTGGTGACAAAGATGGGCTCCTCTGTGCGCGCCCCAGAGAGCACCACGGGCACTCGGTTCAGGCTTGCAAAACTCAGCAGGCAAACTTGCAACTTAGATCGGAATTGACCATACCTGGATTCGATGCTGTTCATCACGCACCTGTGTGACACTAGGTTAGTGGCACCAGCTCAGTTTCCTCATAAGGAGGAGTTAGAGGGTGTGTCAGGTAGGACGCCTCCAAATCCTTGTCATTTCCGAATCTGCTGGAAGCCAGGATCTCTCATCTAAACCCAGTCAGGTGACACACCAGGTCCTCCATCATCTCCTCTCCCTTACCTGCTTGGGTGGCTTCCCTTTGCAGGGAAACTTACACACCTGCGGGGACCCGTCACGGCTACCCCTCCGGTTCCTTCCGCTACGCCCTGGACCCTCCGTGTCTAGACTGACTGTGATGTAAACACGTTCTAGGGTTCCTAACAAACGCCCCCACTTCTCGGCTTCTCATCCCCAACTCGGCTCCCCTCGTCCACAGAGACGATCCATCAGCCGCCTTGGAAGTTCTGGAACTGGACTTTTTTTTTTTTTTTTTGAGACAGAGTCACACTTTGTTGCCCAGGCTAGAGTGAGTGCCGTGGCGTCAGCCTAGCTCACAGCAACCTCAATCTCCGGGGCTCAGCGATCCTCCTGCCTCAGCCTCCTGAGTAGCTGGGACTACAGGCATGCGCCACCATGCCCGGCTAATTTTTTCTATATATATTATTTGGCCAATTAATTTCTTTCTATTTATAGTAGAGATGGGGTCTCGCTCTTGCTCAGGCTGGTCTTGAACTCCTGACCTCGAGCAATCCGCCTCGGCCTCCCAGAGAGCTAGGATTACAGGCGTGAGCCACCGCGCCCGGCCTGGACTTTTTTTTTGAGACAGAGTCTCACTCTGTTGTCCAGGCTAGAGTGAGTGCCGTGGCGTCAGCCTCGCTCACATCAACCTCAGACTCCTGGGCTCAAGCGATCCTCCTGTCTCAGCCTCCCGAGTAGCTGGAACTACAGGCATGCGCCACCATGCCCGGCTAATTTTTTCTATATAGTTTTAGTTGTCTAGCTGATTTCTTTCTATTTATAGTAGAGATGGGGTCTCGCTCTTGCTCAGGCTGATTCTGAACTCCTGACCTTGAGCAATCCACCCTCCTCGGCCTCCCAGAGTGCTGGGATCACAGGCGTGAGCCGCCGTGCCCGGCCTGGACCCAGACTTTGATCTGAAACCGTGGCTGGCCTTGGGTTTCTCCCGGCCCTTCATTTCATCGCAGAACCAACAGGTATCTCTGAGGAAGTCAAACACTCCTGAGAATACTTGAATCCCCATTTTTGATATAAAGAATTATCTGTGCAATTGTAAAAAAAAAAAAAAGATGAAAAGTGGATTATTCTCCTGACCAGAGACTATGTGCCTTGCGACCTCTGAGTCAGAAGAGAGGCGAGGTCTCCCGTCATTGCACGGACCCTCCAGGCAGCCTCCACAGCGAGCGTGTGTGCGTTCATCTGTCAAAACTCCCCGCCGTCAGGACTTCAAACACTCTGACCCGCACAGCACAGACAAAACGTAAACTCACTTTCATCTTCCTAAAAACGTCTGCGACAAAAGGGAAGAGGAAAAAAAAATCCCTTCCCTCTTGATGTCACGTTTCATAGGATCCTTTGCCCCACGGCGGCGAAGGCCGCTCTCCGTCTCTGCCGGGTAACGAGGGCCCCCGGACGCCGCGCCGAGTAGGGGGACGCGCCGCGCAGGGACCTCACCTCGAAGGCCTGGAAGGTCAGCCCCACGTGGAAGCCCTCGGCCACGGTGACCCTCCACACGCACTCCTTCATGGGGCGGTAGTCCTCGGGGTAGTTGGGGGACTGGATCTGCCCCTCCTGCTTGCGGATCTCGCCCCCGCACACGGCTGCAGGAAGCAGACACGAGCAAACAGGTGAGCCACGCGCGCCCGGCATGCTGAGACCAGGTGGTCACGCTCAGAGCCGGCGGCCTGCCCTGGGGCCGATACTCGGAGCGGAACATCCCGGCCACTTACCTGTAGAGGCCAGACGATCATCAGCCAAGGAAAATACAATTTTTAATCACATTTTTAACTTAAATTAATTTTAAAATTTAATTTTAATTTAATTAATTAAATTAAATTATTTAAATAAATTTAAATTAATAAAATTTGATTAAAATTTAAAATTTAATTAATTTTTAAAACATCACATTTTTATTATATCAAATCTTAACAAAAATTTTAGTATTTTTTATTTCCTGGCATAGAGTGCCGTGGCGTCAGCCTAGCTCACAGCAACCTCAAACTCCTGGGCTCAAGCGATCCTCCTCCCTCAGCCTCCCGAGTAGCTGGGACTACAGGCATGCGCCACCATTCCTGGCTAATTTTTTCTATGTATTTTTAGTTGGCCAATTAATTTCTTTTTATTTTTAGTAGAGACGGGGTCTCGCTCTTGCTCAGGCTGGTTTCAAACTCCTGACCTTGAGCAATCCTCCCGCCTCGGCCTCCCAGAGTGCTAGGACGACTGGCGAGAGCCGCCGCGTCCGGCCTCTCATAATATTCTAACACCATCACGAAATGAAGTCTACGAGCTCCTGTGCCATTTGTGTTTTCCTACATCCCTGAGCACCTTTGTTAACAGACATCACCACATCCCTGATGCCAGAAAACAGGTTGTCCTTGCGATTTACATCTATTTTTATCAAAATCATCCTCGCGAATATCATAATGCAGGCTCAGAAAATTCCATAATTTTAAGATACGGTTTCGATGCCATTGTAATGGAACCGAAAGGAAGGACCTTCCTGTGGAGAGACCTAGCGTGAACAGATCTCTAGGACGCAAACTTGCCTTCGTAGACGGCTGCGAAGCCTTTCCCGACCCAGTTGCTGCTGCTGCGAAACTCAATCCACATCCTGCTGTCCGTGGAGGTGAGAACCTCAGGCACTTTGTCCCCACAGAATCTGCCTAAAGGAAATAAAAAATAGAGATTCCTAAACACGGCTCTACACTCGAATTGCTTTTCCTACTAGCTACAAATAGTCTGCATAAACGACGACTGGGCCCGTGTTTCCGTCACCGGCGATGAGAGCCGTAACCGAGCCGTGATAGTTAGTGACGGCAGATGAATAAGGCCGTCTGTCCCTATCTATCTGCGAGGGGTGTGACCGCCCAGCTCGGACCGGCCGGCTGATGTCAGCATCCTCGCGCTGGGCGGGGTTCAGAGGATAAGCTCGCGTGTTTATGATGCGTCCAGGTGGCGAGTGCGATTCCCCAGGCAATGAGACAGGTGCACAAGCCACCCTGGGACACGGTCTCAGGTCAGCCCGGCCGCCAGCAGGGAGAACCTGGTTACGGACGTGTTCTCAGCTCAGAGCGCAGTTCTCGTCTAGCCGGGCTCACGGGTGACGCCCCAGGAAAACGCCCAAGCTACCCCAGGTCTCCAAGCGTCTCACGATGCTGAGCCGTCTCACCCTAACGGTACAGCCTGCGTGTCGCAGGCAGGAAGGCGACGGTACCAGAGGACTCTCGAGCGAGCTCTGATTCCCTCCGCGTCTGCGCCCACAGACGCCCGTGCGAGCGAGCGGGTGAGAGTGCTGACACGCGCCACCCCGCCCCTCCTCCCCTCCCTTCCCAAAACACGCATCGCTCGCTGTTCCGCGTGTCTGCCTCCGCGCTCTAAGCTTCCTCGAGACAAAACGGTTAAACAGGACAATGCACGTGGGGTAATTCCACAGACACATGGCATTGTCATCCATGTCCCTGTGCCCCTGGGAGCGACACGCCTAGCTCTAGTAGAAACGGCAGCCACTTGCACAAAAAGCACGGTTCATCCTGACAGCGCACGGGTGAGGAAACGCCCTGCCCTGAACCGCGAGGCAAATCGGCGGCGAGTGGCGCAGGGCAGAGCCTCTCAAACCGCAGCGAGCACCTGCATTTCCAGGAAACGGTTAACGCGCAGTCTCCCACTCCGAGGGCCTGGAGTGGGGCCGGGTTCCTGCGATGCTAGCCGCCTTCCAGGCGAGCCTGGCGCTGCCATCCGAGGGCTGCTCTTCCGGAGCGAGGTCTCAGGAGAAGCGGCCGGAAAGGCTGGCTTTCCACGGAAGTTTGGGAGCCCAGAGCACAGCGAGCCGCGCGACGGAGCTCCCGGGGCTCCAGGAGAAGGCGCTTGCCGACACTCTGGCTTTGGGGTCGCTCCTCCAGTGAGCTTAATGAGATGCTGCCTGTGGGCCGCGCGCCTGCACACAGCGAACTGCTTCATCTCCGCCAAGAAACCGAGGGCCCGAGGCGTGTTTCCCTCAGCCCGACCCGAGGTTGTTTTCCTCGACCTTACATTAATGCAGTTCTTCATTTTTTTGTGTGTGTGTGCTTATTTTTAAACATTTCTACAGAGCTCTCGGATTTACCAAAGCTTCTGGCACCTTTAATACAGTAGTGTCCATTCAGCAGGTTTTAGATGTCAAAAAAAAAAAAAATAGATGTGCACAGCGCACACACACACAACTGAGCAAAGCTACTTCTCAAATTAAAGGCAGAGTCACAGTCTCAAAAAAAACCCCAAAAGGTCAGTGCAGAGTAGCTGCTCCCAACAGCTCCCCCCACGCAAACAGAGGCAGACGCGCGCTGTCCGCACTGCGCGGCCCACAGCGCCGGTTGCGGCCAGACCTTCGTGGGCACCGAATCCGAGCCACGGCTCACGGCACAAACCGCGAATGCCCCTCCTGAGCCACGGGAAGCTCTCAGAGAAGCAGGGCTGTGACGTCTGCGGTCAGAGCAGCCTCGCTTGGCCGGGGAGGTCAGCCGCTGGCCGCGCACGCCACGGCTCACGCCCCGCCACGGCCTCGCAGAGGCCGCCCGACATGCACCGACATGCACAGGCACCGTGCATTTGGGTTTTTACAAAAAAAAAAAAAATCAACGCTATGATTTCTGAAGTTAAAAGCACGGGAGCGCCGTGGGGTGTGGGCACGCGCACGTGAGGGAAGGCAGGGCGGCCCCGCGGCGGGGGAGGGAGGGCCTCCTACCCAGGAGCGGCGACTTCCTCCAGTAGCCGTCCCTGACCTCCACGTAGTCGTACCAGCACAGGCCGCTCTTGTACAGGTCCATGGTGGTGAAGTTCAGCACGATCTGGAAGGAGGAAAACACGGCTCAGCGCGGGGGTGGCTGCAGCCACACGCGAGGTCCCCCCCCCCCGCCACCCCCCAGGAGGAAAGGAGCCCAGGTGCGCAGTGACGACACGCCACACGCAGAGAATTCCTTCCCCGTGGCCGTACCACCCTAGCAGTTTCTTCCCGACAAACACTTCTAAGTCACATTTTCTCGCTCTCCTCAACCACTCCGGTAGGAGCGCCGCCTGCAGCCGACAGCCACAGGTGGACGCGCGCCGCCCAGCGCCGACTGTAGCCGTCGGCCGTGGTGGGTGACTTTTCTGCTTTTTCATTTGTCAAAATAAAAGCGTGAACATGTAAAAAAAAATAACGTGATGGAAACATATATGTGTATGTTCCCTATTATGCTTTACATGACAGGTAAAGCTGCCTGCAAAGAGAAACCAGCTCTCAGTGCTTTCAAGCTTCCTTCATCACACAAGAGCGAGACGGACGCGTCGTCAACACGCAGCACGGACTGCCGTGTGGACTGCGCGTGTGGCTATAGGCGAGGTGTCGCCACAGTGAGTGCCGCACCCAAGTGGTTAATGCTCACCAATGTCAGCAGATGCACAATGTCAACAGTCAAACAAACTAAACATTTTAGCAATTAACCCTGAGTTTCTGTGAAGTTAACTTGAACACTTGCAAAGCAAACAAACAAACAAAAAATCTGGATTCAGACACTTCATTTTGAATTTTCCTAAAATAAACCTGATTGGAACCATGAAGAATTCCGATTTTTCCCATGAATGTCTTCTTCTTAATAATTTATTTAAAGGACGACCAGACATCTGTAATTATGTTAAAAATAATCTCTGTGTACCATATTCCCAGAACATAATATCGCTGTGTGTGTTGACATGTTTTAAATACAGCCCTAGAATTCAAATTTATCCATCCGACCATAATCAAAGGCAGATGTCACCGTTCTTCTCCAGACCCAAGGATATGTGTTCAAAGACCTTTCAAGTTGGATGATTTTGTACATGACCCCCTTTACTCTGCACTTTGTTTGGGAATGGCGCTGTTTTCGTAAAAATAATTCAAGAACAATTCCAGGAAAGAAAACTTTCTCACTGCTTTACGAAAGGACTCTACTTTTCCAATAATTAACTCTTTCTTTAACTTGATTACACCAAAAGCAGAGCCAAACTAACGTCTGCTGCAGCGAAATCCATTTGGAATTTTTTTGATGTTCAAACATTCATTTTAACTCTATCATGCTTAAAATATCTGAGATACTTAAAGCTCATCGTGAACCTGTTTGTTACTCTAAAAACTGAAGTAGACTTTGGCCCAAAGCAACAAATTATGAGTATCTGAAATGCTCTTACTGTATAGTTTGTAGCAATATTCAAAGACCCTCCCCCCCCCTTTTTTTTTTGAGATAGAGTCTCACATGTTGCCCGGGCTAGAGTGCCATGGCGTCAGCCTCGGTCACAGAAACCTCAAACTCCTGGGCTCAAGCGATCCTCCTGCCTCAGCCTCCCGAGTAGCTGGGACTACAGGCATCCGCCATCATGCCCGGCTAGTTTTATACATATATATTTTTTTAGTTGTCTAGCATATTTCTTTCTACCTATTTTTAGTAGAGACAGGATCTCGCTCTTGCTCAGGCTGGTCTTGAACTCCTGAGCTCAAACTATCCTCCCGCCTCCACCTCCCAGAGTGCTAGGATTACAGGCGTGAGCCACCACCGGGCCTGGCCAAAGAACCCTTTTGTGACAATACAAAAAGCTGAACCTAAGAGAACTCTCAAGGAATAACAAAGACAGGAAGGAAGGGAGGGAGGGAGGGGAACATGCATATTATCATTCAATCCTAAATCCTATTCCAGGAAAGTACCACCAATTCTGTGCCGGAAAACACACGCTTCCCCCTTTCCCCATACCCTTTCCCAACACCTAACAGGAAGGTAAGCACAGGTATGGCAGATGGATGCTGAACCACCTAATCCTTCCCAAAATGAAGGCACAGCATGAGTACAAGCACTTCTCTCGGCACCTAAGCCGCCAGGCTCGAGAGCGACCACTGATCAAGTGGTCAGCAAAGCTGGCTTCAGATGTGACTATAGATGAGCTTGTGCTTCCCTGGCCACACAGAGATGAAATCCAGGAACGATAAGAACGTATGCTGGTCTTTACGTGTAACACACTAAGTTGAGGCACGATTTCGTTTTGTTCAATAGAATCGTTCACTTACTTTTGTCTTCCTTGTCTGCGGTTTTTTCCTTGTTTTTCTTTCCATCCACCTCACTTTAGTGTTCTAAGCACTTTCAAAAAAAATGTTTGCAAAAGTTTGCAAAACGTCGCTCTACTCAAGAGCAAACGATTGTTCTTTCTTCTTCATGATCCTCAACACCTGATTATCAAAATGCCTTAGTATCTAAATTATTTTCGTGAAGTTCCCAAAACATTTCCTTCTCCATCTTTGAATACCAACCCAACGTTAAATTATACGTACGGTATATTCTGGCCTTTGCCCCGGACTTCCTGTTTGCTTTGAGTCCGCTACAGATGGAGAATGCTACCCCCGATGTCACGTTACATTCTGCATTTTCTATTTTCCCAGTAGCAACCACCAGGCTTTCAACTTTGTCTGATCATCTAAGGCAGGGGTCCTCAAACTACGGCCCGCCGAGGAGGACATTTATCCGGCCCGCCGGGTGTTTTTGCCGCCGCTGCCTGTCCTGCTTAGCAGCCGACTCGTCCCGGGCCCACAGTGCGCACGTGTGGGATGTGCCCCACACTCTCCAACGGCCCTCCCGAGGTCTGAGGGACAGTGACTGGCCCCCTGTTTAAAACGTTTGAGGACCCCTGGTGGACTCGCTTGTTACAGCCAGGACAGCAAAACTAGAGCCCGGACACAGACCAACACCGCAAGGTTCACTTTCGCGGCTCCCCTCTTGAGGGGGGTTTCATAATGATGTGCAAATAGTCTCTACTTCTTCCTTGACGAGGAGAAAAATCAGCGAAATTAGAAGTATATGTGTCATCAGATTTCATCCCAAATTTAAAACGATGTGGTTGGATTGCTAACAAATAGTTAATGTTTTGAGTCTCGAGGCGTACATGAGCTCACACACACAGCGAGCAGGGATAACTCCACGCAGAAAGTTTTTCTATCTTGTTTCTCGTCTTCCAGTTTAAACGCCAGGCACCGTGCAGGAGCACAAGCGGCCTGACACTAACATAAAACACAGAGTCCTTTAGAAGCGGAAAATGCAATAAAGATAGGTTTTCTAAAATCAAATCTCAGGACGCCGACTACAGAAGTGAAATGTTGCCCTTTGACTAATACGCTTGCCAGCAGAATCCACACTTGGATCGCAAATCAAAAGCACTTGGGAAGCATTTAGTTGTATATTATGCTGTTTTATGCACACAGATTGCATCTTCCCCCTAAGAAGGGTAAGATGAAAACTACATAACCCAGTTCTGTAAATATTTCGTCCCTGATGGTAAGTGTAAGTACCAATTTAAAATTAATCATTGCTCCCTTGGAACAGGGAAGGGGGGACAACTGCAAGGTGTCCTGTGACCTGTTGGGAATCTTCCTTGCAACATGAAGCTGGTGCAGCTGCTGCCAAGTTTGCTTATTAAAGACTTTGTTTTACGATGCTGCAGGGCGTAGAGTCTTGAGGAAAGGCGGGTCCACAGGCCAAGGGGCCGGCTGTCCGAAAGTCTCCAGAGAAAGACACTGTCAGTGCACCGCACCTTTTTCAGCACGAGACCCCACTGGCTACCTGCACAAAGTCCGCGAGCACCGTGGACGGGCCCGTCAGAGCAGCGCCTGCACCCCACCCGGCTGAGCAGAGCGAAACTCCGCCCGTCAGGCTGATGGTACCAACTGGCTCTTCAGAGAGAGAGAGATTCAAATCAAAAGCACCAAGATAAAATAGACTGCTGGCCTCCAAGAAGCCTGGACAAGCCTAGTAAATTCTGTAGAGTGGCTGCAGTCTGTCTCTCAGCAGTAAAGCTCACAGAGAGATTAGGCATCCCTAAACCGCAGCCCTCGGGCCAATCCGCCTGCAGCTTGTTTCCGTAAATAAAGCTCTGTAGGTGCCATTCCTTCGCCACGATGTTTGCTTCTGCACCACAACACCAGAAACGAGTATTTGTGACAGGTTAAGTCCTGTGTACCCTGCAAAGGCAAAGATATTTACTATATGTTCTTTCCAGAAAAAAATTGCCAATCCCAGATATAATTGATCAGGAAGGTGTTGTTCAACTCTGAAATTGTATTATGTTAAAGGAGAAAAAAAAATTACGACTTTTCCAACATCGATAAGCTGTTCTTGACGGGAGCCAGAGGCTTGGGTTCAAGTTCGCTTCTCCGTTTGCTGGTTCGCCGAAATGTCCTGAGGCTGAATGAAGGTTTTCGCTGTCCGTGGGAAGTTACCGTCTCGGGCTGATCTCGCCAGAATCAAACCACAAGAACGTAACTGGGTGACATAGAGACAAAGCTCGGGTAAGCCACGAGCACTGTGAATACGCTCACGCCTTGTTGTTTCCGTGGTATGGATTCAGACATTTCTTACAACACAAACCCTGAGAAATTAGGTACAACAAGCGAAAGTATTAATCCAATTTCCTAAATCCATTCTGTGCCAGGGAACATCAAAATATCAGTTTGATTTTAAAGTTTCATGGGAAAATCAACATGCGAAAGTAAGAACGGGCAGGACGCGGGGCCTTGGTTTGTCTAATGACTGGCAGGTGTGTGACCTCACGTTGACCCCGATCTCCATCAGAGATTAACTACGACAGGTGAAAAACAAGAGTTGGATTATGCTATTGAAATAATCTTTCCACTTAAACCTGTATGATAATATCTGGATTTGGAGCTTTGATGTGTCATCGCCTGTAATTCACTAACTTTCTTTTATATACTACCGTGTTTCCTCGAAAATAATACCCACCCATCAAATAAGCCCCAGCAGGATGTCTAAGCATGTGCGCAATAGAAGCCCCACCC